CTGCTTGACCGTGTCTCACGGTGTTGTCGCTTGCAGATTTACTTATACTTCTTCAACCCTGAAGATGGGGGCGATACGTTCCTCCGAAACGTCGGTTAACACCACATATACACGGTGCCAAATCCCAGAAGACTGCTTTCTTCAAACAGGGAACTGTAAGTATCCCTAATTCTCTGAAAACCTCTCTACAAGAACTTCTAGGCCTCGTCATTAACACTGCTGTAATTGCTCTGTTCTGAGCCACAAAAACTCTTTTCATTGATGATGAAGAAGAGCCCCAGAAAATAACACAATATTTAAGTTGAGCTTGACAGTAAGCACAATAAGCCATTTTCAACACTTGCCTACATACTATAGGCTGTAGTTTTCTAAGCACAAAGGTTGCAACACTCAACTTATTTATCACATCATCAGAGTATTTTTCCCAGCCCAAATGGTTGTCCGGGCACACACCTAAAAACTTAACATTTACAGAAAATTTAAGTGTTTGATCATTATATATTATATGTAATGGATAGTCCGTGGCCTCAGGGGTCATAAAGTTCATTACATGGTTTTTTTAATGTAGTATTAATTGGTTAGCTTGGAACCATCTATATAAATGTCTCATTACTAAATTAATTTTGTTATTAAGGCTACTAATATCCTGTGAAGATACAATAAAAGTGGTTGGGGGTTGGGGAGGTCGCATAGGATGGTATGGTAGCATTCTATTTTGTTGATCATGCTGTCAGTGCTGGTGGTCAATCCTCATTTAGTTAGGGCACGTCTGCGTAGGGATGGCAGGAATGTCATTTGACGTCACCGCGGCCATGTTGCCCAAATATAACGAACAGTTACCGGGGGGCGGTTGGGTGACTGGTCCAGTGTGGTCCAGCGAACAATATTGAACTAAACGATGCCAACCATTGGAGAAAAAAATACCTTCAAGCGGATGATTAGCACATGGCTATTTTACGCGCGCAGTTGTTGAAGTGGTTCTTTCGTCGTAAAGTAATAGCAGTAGATGAGACAAGTCGTGACTTATTTATTTTTACTCACTTATTCCGGGACATAATATTATTAATACCCCTGAAATTATATTCAGACTGTAATTACTGGGTACTGTACAGAAATTACGCTATATTATTTTGCTGTGCGAGGATATCACTGCCTTACAAACATTGGTTTTCACACTACATGATGGCACCGAAGAGGAAGCAACTTACCGCTACGAAGGTAATGCGTTGGACCAAAAAAGGAGGCCTGAGAAATACTGCCTCTAATAGTAATTATTTGTTTTATGACTACTAATAAGCACTGTACTTTATCAGCAGTAGTTACCTTTTCCTCTGTATTTTATGAACAGGATCAAGTTGCAAGTCTAGATAATGCAGGAAATGTGGTTTTTATATTTAAAGATTAACTGAACGGATCTGAAGTAGGAATGATACAAGTGGTAGGATTCATCCTTAGTGTATGATAAATGCTGCGAATAGGCGAAAGTTCTTGTATTCTCTCTCTGTAACCCACAAGGAGTCACTGATGAACTGGAAAGTGCTATGTGATGTAAAATAAAAAAAAAAAGTCTGATATTAAGTTATGTTGTCAGTGAGTGATGAATGTTGATACTGTATGTTGGTATATTCGGTTAGATGGGTGATTATGCACTTTTGTAGCAGGTATTTGAGTGAGGTGGAATGATCTATCTCTGGCAGATATTTTTAGGTGTACTTTAGTATGTGCCATGAAAATGGGTGCAGCAAGGTCAAACCATAATTGTACAGAGTCCAAACCATTACTGCTGGAGTTGAATGTTTTGTGTAACTCCTTTGTTCAACCTGCAGTAATATTTTCGTTTGTTATATGATGACAAACATTTTGAGAACTCTGGTTTTTAGTTTATTTATTTATTTATGCTGTGAATAACTCAGACTGTGTAGCATCAAATGCTTGGATGACAGGGAGTAATGAATTGGAAAGGATGTGAAAAGAAGTGGTTGTAGTCTGAATTAAGATACTGTCCCAGCAATTGGCTTGAGGGACTGGGAAAAGCCCATGGAAGCCCTCACTCAGTGTATCCATTGTCCTGGCTGAGATTCAAAAGGGATACTTTCCAAATGTACGTCAGAAGCACTGCTGTTCCTCTTAGTTACTATAGGATTCTGACGATGGTGTATAACACACTGATATATTGGGTTTCTGGACTTTATCCATCGTCCTAGTTTTTAAGATAACAAAAACACGACGTTTCGGAAACGGGATCTGTTTCCGTCCTCAGGTGAAGGAAAAGGGGGAACACCTATTCTGTTGGGTCCGTTAGAAAGAGCTAGCCTCAATCACTGGACCTAGGACTTTATCCATCGTCACTAGGACGATGGATAAAGTCCAGAAACCCAATATAACAGAGTTCCTCTGTTTGACATTGCATTCTTTAGTTCTTTGTTGACATAATGGTACCATATTTCCTGTGATTTTTATTGTTTTTAAAAATGAAAATTTTCTTAGCATTTTGAACTGTTATTGACTGCTGCTGTGAATGCAGATTCAGTACTCTTATATGACACATTATTTGCTGTGAAATGTAGCTCAGGGCTCAAATTCTTTTATCCCAAAAGATGCACATTGATGAATATTTTATTTTACAAGAACTTATGTATGTAGTTTTATTTTGATTATGCTCTGTGTCTGGGACCTTGTTATCAGATATAACAAATAGTAGGTCTGTTACCTTTCATAACCAATTCATGTTACTGTTTTACATGAAAATTGTAGTTTTGATCTCACTCACTTCTCGTTTTCACTGTTGCCACTGCTACTGTGGTTAGTTACAGTACCTAGATTTATAATCTTGGCTCAGTAATATTGTCTCAATCACGTTCCACCCTCACCTCCCCCCAGTANGGGAGGAGTTGCAACTCTCCCCGAGACTGCATCCGTTCTGCGGTGGTATGACTCACGGCAAATTGCAGCCGCGGCGCGCACTTGATTGTACGCACTGTATATATATACTTATATGAGCAAAGTAAATAAAGCAAAACAAAGCAGACATCATCATACTGTAAGCATTACGAGTAGAGTCAAAGGGCACTCACAGTGATGCAGACTGTAGTGAATGAAACAAATGTTGTTTACCTGAAATTACTTAATGTAGGATGGTATGCTGTGTAGTGTGGTATATAAGGACCAAGATTTCAGAGGATCAGTTTGTTGGTCCCTCTTTCACTCTGTAGATGATTTTACTTCCATTGAAAAATGTTAAGGTTTATGCATGTCTGTATATGAACTAAGATTTTTTCCTTAGTTTAAAAATTTATAAGCCTAATGTATATCTATACGTGAAATATGTGAAGTAAGTTTCTGTACTTGTATTATGACATATGCTGCATACTTTGGTTTGACCCATAGAAGGATCTGTGGAATGCAAGTAAACTCTCCTCTGCTTTTCTCTCTATCAGACTGCGCTACATTGTATCTAGGAAGACCATTATCTTCATATGCACCATCTCATCCCAGTGTTTGCATTTGGACATGATTTTATGTTTCTCCAAGAAGATTTAAGTTTGTAACAGATTGGTTTATGTTAAGTTAAAAGAGTTGTGTTCACTAACTAATTATAGTTATGTAGCTTGTCAGTAAATTCCCTGCTTCTACAGAACTGGGACCTTCATTACCATTGCCATTGGACTGTATACTGAGCCGGCTTCTGTGACCTTTGCTATATCAATACAGTTTTTTAAATAGGCAAGCATGATTACATGTTTAATTTTGTATGTGGGACATTGAGGGGCAATGCATTCTGTCCAAATATTTATATTTAGTACAGAAAATTCTTACTAGCTATTTTTGCCAACCGCAGATTTTAAGTATCTGTGGTTTTCTCCTTTTATTCAGTTGTATCAAATTATTATATGTACTTGCAGAGTTAAATTTTTGTATAGACAGAAAAGGTCAGTTGTTTCTATGACTAAGCAAATCTTTACACATGCTGTATTATATCAGTGAACTTTTGAAGTACTTTTATTTCTCACTGAGCACATGTAGCAATACAATGTGATCCTGCTCTAGATATCTGAGTGGATCATTTGCCTGGTTTGGGGATGGGGGTCTAGGGTTGTAGTGAGGACAAGGTATTCTTACAGTCATTTCTAGAAGTGAGGCAGAATTTTTAATGGTCTGTTTTTGGTTATTCTTTTTTACAGTTTTGGGGTGCATTGAATTTTATACCGGATATGTAACTTCTTTTTCAGGTGTCTTCTGAGGATAGTAAAAGAAAAAATAAGGCTCCAATAAAAAATGATGAAAGTGAAAGTTCTGAAAATGAAAATGAAGAAGTAAAACCTCCAAGCCGTCAAAGTAAAAGAAACAGGAATAAAGTTATAACTTACAAAGATGAAGATCTTTCAGAGGATGAAGCATATCCAAAGAGAGGAGGAAAGAATGTTAAGGAAGCAAAGAATGATGATTCAGATGTGTCAAATGAAGCTAATGAAGACCACTCTGGAGGTGAATTCAAAGCAAAAGCAAAAAATCAGTCTGTTAGTAAGAAAAAATCCAGAGCCACCGACATTGACAATGAACAAGATGCTGATGGAAGTCTTTCAGAAGAAGAATCTAAAACAAAAAACTCAAAACCAAAAGAAAAGAAAGCTGTACCACCTCCAGCTAAGAAGCCCAAGGTTGATAAACCACCTTTAAATAAAACACAGAGTGATTATGAATCTCTTGACTTTTCTAGCAACAGGACAACTTCTGATGGTAAACTTTGGAACTTGAAAATTTCTTCTTGGAATGTTGGTGGACTGAAAGCATGGGTGAAGGTGAGATTTTTCAGATTACTTTTGTATCTTGGATCTTGTATCTTTATTTTCATTTCCATAAATCCTTACTGGCTACCAAAGCCATTGGATATAGAACATGTCACAATTTACATATATTAGTTCTGAGAACAGAAACTAGTCCTCTTGAAGCCACATTCATGAAAGGAACCATAATTATTCAATCGGTAATTTAACCAACGTGTACGATTCAACTAGACATTAACCCGTTGCCGTGGTTCGTCGTGTCTGTTTTGTCAGGGATTTAAATCGTCTGGGGGGGTTCGTCGTGTATGGTTCGTCCAGCTGCACACCTATGTTATAACGCCCATAATAATTGATGGTTTTGCTGTAGATTGTTAGATTTTTCGCTGGCCTGTTGTCACAAGAACAGAGTATACTAAGCCAACGAGTTTAGCTGAGATAAGTCGTCGTTACATATGCCTGTCTTGCAGCAAATTCGTGTTGCTTCTTGTAGCGGTTTCGTCACTCAATGGCGTATTTGCTTTGCTTGTGAAGTAATAAACACCAGAGAGGTGATGTGTGCTGTTGTATATAATATCATATTGCCCTGAGCTGGCCACACACATTCCATTGGAATTCTTAGAAGAGGGTTGTCCAAAATGTTATTCTCGTAAAATCGATTGCTTTCGCACAGTACATAGCACCCATTTCTTAGAAATACGCCACAATTTAAGGCAGAACACTGTGGTCACCCCCTGAGACGATACGGATGTGTGTGGGGGAGGGAAAAGTACCCATTATCGCTCCAGTTGACGCCATTTTATCGTACTGACCTTGGTGGTCGTTTCGAGAGCCAGCTCTGTGTTTAGACTAATGCTTCAAGGCGTCACCTGCTTACATAGCCGAGATACCGGGTGCTCATATTATAAGGCAAGGTTATAAAACCAACTTTTAAGATCATTTTAGTGAAAGTTTCATCCTTCAAGGCGTACCATTCTCTGCTCAAATACTAAATAACATGCTTCCATTGAAGATATAAAGGGGGTTCATATTATAAGGTAAGGTTATAAAACCACCTTTTAAGATCATTTTAGTGAAAGTTTCATGTTCCTATCTCATAGATTTTAAGAACAATGATGAATAAATAATTTTCGAGCAAAATTTAAATGGCCGGCTGAATATATTACCGCAGGAGCCGCGGCCGCGGAATTTAAATGACCACGTCAAAAGGTTAATACTTTATTAAGCTCATTCCCTAAAAATATATGCACAGATATCAATTGAAAGTCTTTTATACAATATACCATATAAAGAGCACTATAAAAGTTTATTTCATTTTGTATTTAAAATACTTGTCCAGTGTCTAAAATGAATGGGAATGCAAGAATCAAGTTACTAGGAATCAGATACATTCTTGTAAAGCAAATGGATCAGAGTGAAGAAACCATCACAAAACTGTACAGGTGTTACAGGAGTCAGGACTGAAAATCATTTATGGTATTCTGGAGAATAGAAGTAGTCTTTATTCATCAGGATAGTATGTGCATATGTACCATAGTGCATAATAGAAATGGAATTGACATATATTGAAGAGATATATTTCCTCATATAATTTATTTATAAGTACGATATTCTAAATGGAAGAATATCGTACTTATAAATAGTCTTAGAGAGATAGGATAAGGTGGTATGGACTGGATTGATCTGGCTCAGAATTAGGACCAGTGGAGGGCTCTTGTGAACATGATAATACACCTTCGGGTTCCATAAAATGTTGGGAAATTCTTGAGATGGTGGTTTCTCAAGAAGGGCTCATCTCCATGTAGTTAGATAAACTGAATAAGAAAACTGGGAAATTCTGTTCATTTCATTTAACCCTGGTGTTATCATCGTGAATGGTGGTGATGCAGCGGTGTCAGAAGCCTATGATCTAATTCACTTTTGCCACAGTACAATGGTTACTGTGTAAGTGAAGCATGTACAATTTATTATTTCCAGGTAACCATGAATGGATTGTCTGGCTTGATGCTTATCGTTTGCATTCTTAGATGTGTTCACAGTCAGTCAGTGCCAGTCAGTGGAGCTTTAAAGCCAACCGTTACGTACTTTGATACTGAGAAACAGAGCATTAAGATCAAACCTGGCTCTGCTTTGGAATGACAGTCTAAGCAAGCTAATCAAGTCAGATTAAAATGATGGAATTTGTCGTAACAGTGAATCACTACTGATAGGTGACAGCTTCCTTTGCCATGTTCCTGCCATGGCACATCTCCAGTTGACTGGCATGTAGTATCACTACCAGTATTGAACTGATTTCCAGAAAGAAAATTGGCTGAAAATTCCAACATCATCTTGTTCCATTTTGACAAGATGTTGGTTTTCTTAGCCCAGCTCTCTGTTGGTTGGTCTGTTCCTGTACTTTTCACATTGTTGACGTAATTCCGTTATCCAAAAACTGAATGTAATATCTGCATGGCAGTGGAGTACACAGAATTGGGTATTTTCTGCAAGAGGTATCTGTCAATTCAGTCAGGTTTTGAGAGACTATTGACAGAAGTATGCTCTTGTTTGTGTGGGATGAAAATATGCAACAGTTTAAGAATGTCCTTAGAAAAATGGTTGTAATGAAAGAAACGGATTTTGAAGGCTTTTTATATTTAATTTTAATTAAGGAGATATTTTTCAAAGTCAAACACACTCTTAACTAACTATGGGAAATGCATGGAGCATAGTCCTTGAGAAGCTGGTAGTTGCTGACTCATGGAATAAATTGTCTTCTTTTATGAAACCCTAAGGTTCACTATCATGCTTGTAAGAGCTTGGGAGGATCTGTTTTCAGTTTATGGTCCACTGTTTGAGAAACACTACTTTGAAGTTCTGTTCTTGAAGGAATTTATAAAACTTTGGAATAAGTGTTTACTACTTAAGGAAGGTTTTGCTTGGAAGGAGTGAGTAAAATCCCAGAAGGATCACTGATAATTGATCAGTCCAAGAACCTTTCAAACGAGAATAATGTACATTATTGTGGACCAAATTTGGTCATTGTTCTCACTTCAGATGCTTTCTACATTGTACTCAAAGATATGTTGCACACCTTAATTTTTTTCCAGAAAAATGGGATTGATTATTTAAAATATGAAGACCCAGACATATTTTGCCTACAAGAGACCAAATGTTCAGAGAGCAAACTGCCACCCGAAGTAAAGGTGGATGGCTATCACACATATTGGCTTTCAGGTACAGTTTCAAACTTCACAGTGTTAATCATTTTCACTGTAGTATGAACATTTCATATGGTAAAGATGTAATATGAGGTTTCAGTGGCAATAACAATTTTGACTGTGTCCTTCTGACACTTTATAGTTTTATGGCTGGTTATGAGTGTTTCAGAGGAATCTTCTGCTTGGTAGAAATCCTCAAGATGAAGGCAGCAGGTTTCTCCAGAATGTAGTAATGAACTACAAAACTACATGATAACATAACTAAGAAGTCCACAGTCCAATATTGTTATGGTGAAGACACAGTAACAGAGTATGGTCACTTTTCCTCATGAGAGGAACTTCATGGAAATTGATAATGCAGTCTTGGTTTCTGAAATTCTGGCCCTGATCAGTAATAATGTGTCATCATCAACAATATAATTTGAATTATGAAACTGTGTCGTTATCATCATCCTTTGTTGCTTAGGAAGTTGTCTGAGGCAGTAATGCTTCTTACCTGTGTTCAGAGGTGGTCAGGTTGACTGTCAGATGAGCCACAGACTCTCTTGTCAGGTTTTTCATGGCTTTCCTCTCACTCTTCAGGTGAATGCTGGGATTGTACTTCAAATTAGGCCATGGGAAAATCCTTGCACATCCTTTCCAGTTTATGATTTGGTAATCATCCTACCCCAATCTAGAAAACCTGAAATTAAAGGCCATGAGTATTTGTTGTGCTGACCACGCGACACCCTCTATCCGCTAAAGTTGACACTAACTTTGTCAACAAGCAGTGGTCGTTCGGTTGGTATAGTTCGCTTGTGGACTAAAAGCCGTGGAGAATCATCCTACCATTCAGTGCTATGTTTGGAACTGCTTACAGCGTCATTGAATAAACCATAAAAATCATCCCATGTTAAGTGGGTCACTGGTGTGGCACAATATATCCTGTATTGCAAATCAACTAGAGAGTCTTCAGTTGTGGAAAGTATCTGCAAATATATGGAATACACAGCCATGGACAGCCAACAAGGAGCTGACAGCCCCTAACTGTAAAAAAAAAAGTGCTTGTTAAAGAATATTTTGTAAAGCCTCCAGCCTGAAATTGTATTTATAAGGAAATTTGGAACATATTAAATTTGGGGAAATACTTGTTACAATTCAGTTCAGAATTGTTTGACTTTGTATCCGCTATCAGATCAATTAGAGCAGCAGGCTGTGATACTGACAGTTATCTGGTGGTATTGAAAGTTATGGAGAGACTGGCAGCGAATAAACAAACAACACACAGATTTCATATGGAGAGGTTAAATCACAAGAAATTAAATGAGGTAGAGGGTAAGGAGCAGTATTGGGTTGAAGGTTTGAAGGTTGGAAAACATAAGATGGTGACGTGGATATTAATAGAGCCTGGGAAACTCTTAGAATATGAAGTTTTCATGAGGTTATAATGAATTGAAGAAACATAAGCCATGGTTTGACGAAAGATGCTTAGAGTTATTAGATCAAAGGAAAAGAGCCAGATTGCAGCAGTTACAGGATCCAAGCGAAATAAATGGGTATAATCTGAACAATAAGAGACATGAAGTCAACAGGCATGTCAGGAATAAAGAGAAGGAATATCTGAAAGACAATTAATGGGCATGAAACAAACAACAATAACAAGAATTAGAGAGCTGTGTAGTGGAATAAATGAATTTAAGAAGGGTTACATACCTAGAAGTAACTTAGTGAAGGATGAGAATGGTGATCTGCTTTCAGATTCCCACATTTTGAATAGGTGGAGGAACTACTTCTCTCAGTTATTCAATATATATAGGGTAAGTGATGTTAATCAGCTAGAAATACATACAGCTAAGCCATTAGTACTTGATCATAGTCTTTTTGAGGTTGAAATTGCAAAGTCGAAAGATGATACGTGTAAATTTCCATGGAATGATCAAATTCTGGCAGAAGTGTTTCAAGTAGGAGGTGAAGCACAATGGCCTGAAACATGTAAACTCATTGATTCTATTGGGAATAAGGAAGAACTGCCTGATTAGTGGAAGGAGTCTATTATTGTACTGTTTCACAAGACGGGTGATGAAACACTGTAGTAATTGTGGGATATCACTGTTATCAGCTTCTTGTAAAACTTTATCCATTATCCTTCTGTTAAGTCCGTACGTAGACAAAATTATTGGTGATCATCAGTATGGGTTCTGAAATAACAGATAAACTGATCAGATTTTTTGTGTTCCCCAGATACTGGAGGTAAAATGGGAGTACAATGAGGCAGTACATCTGCTATTCATAGACTTCAAGAAAGCCTTATGATTCAGTTAGGAGGGAAGTACTGTACAGTATTCTCACAGAATTTGGGGTACCCATGAGACTGCTTAGACTTATTAAAGTGTGCTGAAATGAAACCTATAGTAAGGTCCATATAGGTAAACATTTGATGAGTTTCCTGTCTGAACCAAGGAGATGCCTTACTGCCATTTCTTTTTTTCAACTTTGCTTCAGAATATGCTAGTAGGAAAGTCAGGAAAGCCAGATGGGACTGAAATTAAAGGGACACATCAGCTGCTGGTATGTGCTGATGAGAATGAGTCTACTGGGAGATAATTTACTGTAGATAACACAAAGAAAAAAACAAATTTTAATTTATGCTAGGAAGAAGGCTAGTCTAGAAGTAAACGCAGGGAGATCTAAGTATATGTTGCTAGCTCATTACAAGAATGCAGGACAACATCATGACAGCTGACAGATTTTTTGAAAATGTGTCATAATTTAATTATTTTGGAATGATTATAACAAAATCAAAACCTGATTGAGGAGGAGATTAAGAGGTGACTGAATTCACGTCATTCAGTCCAGAACCTTCAGTCTTCTCATCTGCTGCCTAAAACTGAAAATATGAGAATAGGCAAAACTGTAATTTTGCCTGTGGTTCTGTATGGATGTGAAACCTGAGCTTTGATTTTAAGGGAGGAATATAGGCTGAAGGTGTTTCAGAGCAGGGTGCTGGGGAGAATATTTGGACCGAAGAGAGATGAGGTGACAGGAGCTTGAAGAGAACTGCATAATGAGAAGTTTCATAACTTGCAATCTTTGCCAAGTATAATTAGAATAATGAAGTCAAGAGGATGAGATGGGTAGGGCATATAGCATGAATGGTGGGGACAAAAAGGAGTGCATATAGGATATTGGTGGGAAAACCAGAAGGAAAGAGACCACTAAAACAAATGTAGGTGGGTGGTTAATATTGAAATGCATGTTAGAGAGATAGAATGGGCTGGTATGGACTGGATTGGTCTGGCTCAGGATAGGGATGAACGGAGGGCTCTTGTGAACACAGTAATTGACCTTTTAGTTTCAAAAAGTATTTGGAAATTCCTCAGTAGCTGCACAACAGGTGGCTTCTGTAGAAGGTCTCACTCAGCTCCATGTAGTTTCTTGGTTGGTTGGTCTGTGATTTTGTCATGTGTTTATTTGGTTTGTCGATCAGTCAGTGGTTTTATCAGAAAGTTCGTAACAGTGCTTGGGCATTAAGAGAAGAACATTGAGAAGCCTGGACAGACAGCAACTAAAACTTATTATTGTACACAGATATCATTTGGAGACACATCAATGAGCCAAGCACAAATTTTTTCACAACTTGGCTCTATTGTTTTTGAGAGGAATGAATGTCCATTGAAAGGGGGCATTCTGGTCACCTGTCAACCAGGAAAAAGGATAATGTGTTAGATCAAGTGTGTGCTCTAGTGGAAAATAACAAATGACTGATAATTTGTGAAATGGCTGAAGAATAACTGAAGATTTTGGAATGAGGCTTCTCTCAGCCAGGCTTTTTATTATGATTGCTGGCGCAGGAACAAAAAGGAAACCATTTATCTGTCAGAATGCTTAAATACAGAGAAATTTATGAAAACATTTTAAAAATATTGTAACATGATGAAACAGGTCTACAGCAGTGATCCCAAACACTAAGAGTAATGATCACAGTGGATATCCAGTTCCTTTAAGAAATCACAAAACATAAACAAGTGCATGGATGAACCAGAGTGATGATTGATTTCTTTAATAATGAATGTGACTTGTGTTGAAAGTATGCCCCACGATAGCAGACTTCAACCAACATTCTTACATATTTGCAACTGTTGATATGCCTTCATGATGTAAATGACTGAAAAAGTGGGAATCCAACAAATGGTAAATTTATCATAATGCTGCAACTACCCGCTCACCCCAGTTTTTAACCAGATACATTGTTAACAAGCTAGACAGCTATCCTACTTACCAGTTAAAGCTCCTTTATTTTTTTAATACCTGAAAATAGAGTATCTTAGCATTTTGAGTCCCATCTCAGTAAATTTTACTGGATCTTGTAGAGCTGAGGCGTTTATGTTCTGAGTCTAGTTTTATCAAGGCTGAAATAGCTGTTGAAAAGGTGTGTATGAACTGCCAGGTATTGCTAAAATTCTGGTATAACTGATCATTTTGAAATCTGTGAACACCATCTCCTATTTGGAAGTGTGGGCTAGATTTAACTGCCTCACTGTAGGGTATGGTAGCTTGTCTTATGAACATCTTAATAAATCTTTGGGCTAAATAAATTTATTGCCCATCTCAGTAACTAACAACTTGTCAAGAAGAACTCTGCTCCGTGAAGTTAGTTGAATAGTACCGCAAAGAATGTGACATATTTGCATATGTGTTATTGCACCATTAGAACTTAAGACTATTTACAAATCATGAATAACATATATATAGATATATGTATAGTGTATGTATTTTTACGCATTCTGATTTAGGAGAAAAGGAAGGTTATGCTGGTGTAGGTCTGTATTCCAAGAAAGAACCTATCAAAGTCACCTATGGCTTGGGAAAAAAGGAATTTGATACTGAAGGTCGTGTCATTACTGTAGAATATGAAAAGTTCTATTTGGTTGCAGCATGTGAGTACAATTTTTTTTATCTACAGATTTAGTTTATAGGGAATTGTGTTGTTATTGTAGGCAGATATTTTATGTAAAGATTAATTTTGCATTGGTAGTATTTGGTGACAGAACTATGTGTTTATGAACTTTATGGTCTATGATGATTTTAAATGAAGTTCTGTATTGTGGCAGTGTAAAGTAAGCCCTTTGTGATTCAGCTTTTAGAAACGGCTATATTGTGAATACACATCTAAAGGGTATNCCCCCCCCCCCCCCAGTTCTAAAAATAAGCAGAAGTGTAGGATTTTCAACTTTGAAATCCAGTATTTTCACAATTCCTTGTTACATGCATGTAGGTTAAAAATGTCATCACACCTCACATCCAGATGGCAGGAAGCAAGATTCAGTTCCTTGTCCCACTTTCATGATATGTAACATAAGTTTAGAAAAAAAATCGTTAGCGAAGTGTTGTGTTAGGGCCACATGCATGATCAGAGGGTTTAAATGCAAGAGGGTGGGCTGAACAAGGCATATTCATAAAAAAATAACCAGCTGCTAATCAAGCTGCAGAAAACAAAAGAATGTTATAACAGCAATAAATATCTGTAATAGAAAATTATGTGGTTGTCTGTTAAGTACTGGAACCCTCATCCCATATATAAACTAGGAATTCCAAGCAGAACTCATTAAGTCCACTTTCCCATTGTATAGCTCTATTACTGTTGTTACTTCATATTATTTTTGTGAAGCACTTGTTGCTTAAATGTGGATTTTGTCTACATTCAATTCCAGATATAATCCCAGAGTTTCATACCATCGCCATGTTTCATACACAATGTATAGATATGTTTATGGTCTGTCTCTACTGCATCTCAAGTGTCTATCAAATATACAGTTCATGACAGTGTTATATGAATACAATTATTGACTCTTTTCTTATTTAAAACAATGTTTCAGAGACTAGGCTCTGCCTCCGTCTTTAGGTAAAAGGCCTACTCAGTTGGGCCCAATTGATAGAGCTAGTCCCTACCAGACAGGGACCAATTTGTATATAGGGACTAACNATAGTCACCGCCGTGAAAGCCTCAAATCTTACATGATGAATAATGTTTAAAGAGTCTGTAATTGTACTCACATGCCTAGTTCATTAGTTATCACCATCAGACTGAAAGCTAAAGCAGATTTCTCCACAGTCCATATGTTATTTTACATTCTACCGAAGATTTCCTTAACAAAAGTTGCATTTTTTTTTAATTTATTACCATACATCATTTCAGGATCAAATTAAATGGCACTAGTATCTCACAAGTTTTTGGTTCCACAATGTTCATGGCACTGATTGCAGGAAGTATTAAATTTGGATGTTGGGATTGTTTCCAGTGGCAGAGCATTCATACCAAGCATTGTGCAAACTGGTCAGCTGGTTCAGTTTGAAAAGGGAGTCACCAACTGCATAACTGTTACAGAAGCATACTTCCTTTCCTTAAGAAAAGAAAGTAGGCTAAAAATGATTATAACTCAGGAACTATTTTGGTTAAGGTGTTCCAGTAAATATTTTCTGAAAGAAAATATTTTATAAATTTTGTAGTGGTGTTTACTGCTTATAGATAAGCCTGTTGAAATGTAAGGGGAATTGTTCCTTTCATATTTCCAGCCTTCACTCACTTTCTTGCTGTCCTTTATAATTTTTATACTGTTTCTCATTCCCCCAGATCTGTTCAAACAAAGAATCATCTTTATAGTTCAGGTAGCACAGTTTTTATCTTAGAGCTGTCACCTTTTATATATGAACTCGACTGAGACCTGCATTGAAAGGAATTTTGAGGGTGCTTGTGGTCTTGGTTAGACTTTATTCATATTCTTTTTGCATTATTGTAATTACCTGCTGATGCTGTATTCTCATTGAGCTCACTTCTGCTAACAGATGAGATCATTTTGATAGAGATACTTTCCAATATGAGCTCCTGTTCAGTGTCCATTTCTAGCCTTCACAATTTGCAGTGTTGTGACAAATTATATTCTGTTGGTAATAATACTGCATACTTCTCATTCCTGATAGTGTAATAAGGCTAGGTAGATTAGTGTCCACCGATGTCTACCCCCATCATTCTCAACAACAAACACATGAGGAAACTTTAATTTATTTTTCATTTATTTTTATACTTTCCCACTATTGTAATAAGTATAGAAGGTCAGTCTGTGTCTATGTTTGGAAATTCTCTATGAGACACGAGAGAAGGCACTTACTTTCATCTTCCTCTTGGCTTATTCAGACACTGCTGTCTTAGAGCTGACAAGACTTTGAGCAAGTGTGAATGGTATATTAGAATGATCACATGGACAAGATCATTGCAGGCTAAGATTAATCCTGTTTGTGCTGATAAATGACTCACAGCAGGAAAGCATATTGGGAATCTGTCTAGAGCAGTGGAGAAAGTTAATAATATAGTTGCTAAAGACTGGCATAAAATGAAGGGTAATTAATCATGCTGTAGTAATATGACATCAGCTGTTTATACCTTGGGTACACTGTCACAACAGTGCAGTTCGTGGCTGAAAAAGGACAAAGGTTAATAAAGCAATTCACAAAGAATCCTACAAAGCAGGTGATACTTTGCAACAGTCATGGTAGTAATTATGTGATTATGTCCAGCAGATGTTCCCAATGCTGGACGAGGACTTGTAACCCTTCCCAAAAGAATGAAGTGGGATCCAGATCTACGTAACTATGTTAAGGAGTTAGATTCAAAGAAACCTGTAATTTTGTGTGGAGACATGAATGTTTCACATCAGCCTAATGGTAGGTATATCATATCTTATCTAGTGGTAATGGAGTCGTGTTTACTCTGTCCCACAAGGTTTGAGAGATGGTAGATCAGATACAAGGGCACTTTTTTGCCATGCCCAGTGTTGGTTGTTTACAGGTGCTTTGACAAGACAAAATATTTCTCTTTGGGCCTGCAGTTCTTACCACTAGGAAGTGCATGTAGCTATCTTATGTGATTCCTTGGATGTGTATAGATCATTTACTACGCATTTCTTTCAGTGAAATGATGCAAAGCATTCGTGTACTGTGAAGAATGACTTGGTTGTGAAGTAAGCCAGCAGCAGAGTTGCTGTGAGTGAAAGTCTTAAAATTAAAAATTTGTCAGATGCTTTTCGGGAGCTGTGATATCTCAGGTTGGTATAGCAACAGGCTGTGGGCTGGATGGCCAAGGTTCGATTCCTGTCAAAGGCAAGAGATTTCTCTCTGCACCACAGCATCTCAGCCCAAGGGTCCACCAAGCCTCCTATCCAGTGGGTAACAGGGACTCCTTCCCCAAGGGTAAAGCAAAAAGGGCATGAGGCTGACCACCTACCTTCAGTTAGTGCTGAGGTTAAGAATGGTGGAACTAGACCTTTACTCCCCGTATTTGGTGGTTAATTAGTTAAGCTCAGGGACTTTACCTTTTACCATTTACAAACGATTTTCAGCTAATTATCTCTTTTTACAACAAATTTCAGTCGTGCTGCATGAGGTTATGAATGCAGAAGTGTTGGTTGTAGGTAGTACAAATTCTGCCAATAGATGAATCTACAAGTAGTCATCTCTCTGACATTGGCCGTCATTATTTTTGTGAATTACCCTGACTGAGAAAGGCTTATTGAAACCTTCATTTTATTTTATTTTTAATTTTTATTTTTTTTATGTTGGGTGTTATGATTTGGTCTCTATGAAGCCCCTAATTTATAGAAAAATAACAGGAAACACATTCTTGTTCATTGTTAATGAATATAATTTTAATTTGTTTATACTTCGTGTATTTGTAAATAAATGTTAATATCTGCTCAGTGTGGGGAAGCATGCCAATTGCGAAACAGCTTGTTGTGCTTGTTATTAAGCAGTGATACTGCTACAGTCAGTTTCGCCAACATGTGATTCAGTTGAAAGTGCATGTCCAGTGGAATATCTGTTAGGAGCAATTAAACAGTGAGTTAACTGGTACACATTAATTTATATCCAGTTGACCTTTTGTTTAGATCTGTTTAGTGCTATTGAATTGCATTAATATAGGAACTAATATTTGAAAAGGAGACCTTTTGCCCCACAATTACTCTGATGGGGAAGGGGCATGTGTGTGTGGCCACATCTCTTAATGGAAAGGGGTAGAAATGAATGTTTACTCAAACTCTCTCACATATTGGGATGAAGTATAACTACCAAGAAAAGTATATTTCTGTTTGTTGAACATGTTTATACATGGCAGTGTGTTCTATTCCTTGAAGTTCCTGTAATTTTCTCCCTTTTGTTTACATGCTTGAATTGCTATTTTTTTTCAGTTAAGGCTGTGATAACTTTTTTTAGACCAGCAGAGTTCCATATAAAAATTAAATTCGCATATGCAAGTTATATAGTTTCTTGGGGTTTAAAATTCTAATCCAGTATATATGTGATTTTTGTAAGTAATCCTTTGCTTGCTTACCTTTGTGTTAAAAGTTGTTTATAGGGAATAAAGTATTTTTGCAAACTCTGGTTTATACCAGTAAGATAGAAATCTAATGCTCTGTAATGCTGTATTCAGATCTTGCAAATCCAAAGACAAACACAAAGAATGCAGGTTTCACCCAAGAAGAACGAGATGGAATGACAGCATTGCTTGAAGAAGGTTTTGTCGATTCCTTCAGGCACTTATACCCTGAAAAAACAGGAGCTTACACATTCTGGACATATATGGGCAATGCTCGTTCCAGAAACACAGGATGGTAAGTTTCACGTGGAATAATTCTGTGGCTTCCTCATACAAATTAATAATATGTAATAATTTGAAGAATGACAAACCAGTTCTCTGTGTGTAGTGATAGTATTAATGCTATCAGAGATGTTTTTGTAGTTGGTTTTTATTCTCTAAAGGTTCAATGAATGCTGCAATGGCCAGGATAATGATGTAATTCTTATGAATGTGAAAAATGAACGCAACCATGTTTTCTGCAATAAATCTAATGTAGTGCTCTACCATGTAAAAATTTTGTGTCAGGATTGCACAACTGTAGAAAAACGAATTTAAATCAGTTTATGTATGGGCCAGTTGGAAGTGAAACCCTATCCAAATTAGCGAAAGTCTGAATTATAGAAGTACTACTGGAAGTGTTTTCAGCGAAGTTATAAACTGGACTTCGCGAGTCTCTTTAGGCAATACAACATTATTTTGAAACTTAAATTGTATGTCATAAAATAAATTGACTTGTCATAAACGTAAAAATATAAGTTTTGACATAAATCTTAAAAACATTTTAGATAGCCTACATACTCAGTATTATTGAGACTGTCTTTTATACAGTTTTTTACTAAATCTTGCTGATCGTGGCAACATGATCATCAAGGTCATAATGTGCAAATAATTGGCCGAATTATTGCAAATTCCAAATTAGTGAGGTTTTGCTGTATTTCTTTTGTGTATTCTACTTCACATAAGTTCCAAATGAGTGTATACTGCTAATTTTCATACATATTGGAACTTCTTGTTGTAGATTTTTATCTTAGTGTTTATTATTGTATGAAGTTGTAGTGAAGATACCAAAGTATGACACCATTCTTGTCAGGAAGACTGTAAGAAGATAACTGATATTATGCTGCCAAATACGACGGGGTACCCAAAAGAAACCGAACTATTTTTTTTTTGTGGGCAGAGCTTTTGTAGTACCGCGTTTTGCCGCTGTGAGTGCATAGAGCTAATATTCCTGAGTCGATAAGCTGACTACCGTTGCTTCAGAAGGTAAGGACTAGTTTCGGCAGAGTTTATAGTGACAACTGTTTTGTGTGAACGTCATTTTTGCAATAGCTGATTTTCGTGCAGCAATGAAATTCTGCTTTTTGCTCGGGAAAAGTGGAACAGAAACTCTTGAAATGTTAAAAGCGGCGGACAAGGATGATACTATGGGGAAAATTCCAGTGTTTGAGTGGTTTTCCCGTTTCAAAAATGGTGAAATGTCAATTGATGACAAACCTCGTTCTGGTTGTCCTTCCACGACCCGAACACATGAAAATGTTGAAAAAATTCGTGAAATCATCAAGGAAGATCGACGACGGATCATTGAAGAAATTGTGGAGCTGTCGGGAGTGACTTGGAGCAGTCGGATGACCGGTTTTTCCATCATGACAATGCCCCAGCTCACACAGCCCTGTCTGTACGACAATTCTTGACCAAAAATGGTATGACCCCTGTTCCTCACCCTCCATACTCACCTGACCTTGCCCCGTGTGACTTTTTTTTGTTTCCTCGAATGAAAAGAGACATGAAAGGAAAGCGTTTTGCTGATGTTGCTGAGGTGAAGGAAAAAATGACGGAGGCATTGTCAAGCACCTCAAAAGATGAATTTAGACAATGTTTTGAAAAATTGAATAAAAGACTAGACAAGTGTATTAGTGTAAGTGTAGACTACTTTGAAGGGGATTGAAGGTTTGTGCTTAAAATTTGAATAAATAAGTTTAAAAAAAATAAGTTCGGTTTCTTTTGGGTACCCCCTCGTATTTGTGGACAGTGTGATTGAACATTTGCAACAGTCCTTAGAGTGACAGTGAAAGTATTAAAGAAAGACAGGTTGCAAATGTGCACATAGATTCTAAAGAGTTTTGACAGTGATATACTCGTACAACATTCAGGATTCCTTGGGTTTTTGGATTATGCCCATCTTCTAGTAATTCTAAAAAATACAGAAGAACACACTATTTTTGAACCTGGATCTGCTTCCATCCTCAGGTGAAGGGGGGGGGACACCTACTCTTTTGGGTCCATTAGAAATAGCTAACTTAAAATACCGGATTGTGAAGTGATTGAGGTTAGCTCTTTTTAACAGACCCAAAAGAGTAGGTTTCTCCCACCCCTCACTTGAGGACGGAGATGGATCCAGTTTCTGAAACAAAGTCCAAAAACTCTTTATTCCTGAGAACAAATGTGCAAGTTTATAAATGTGTTCTTAATATTTAATTTTCAGCCATATGATTTCAAGTTGTCACCTTAGATTTGGGTAAATACAGTTAACAGGCAGCTGACAGACAGTATTGGCTACCCATTATACCAACATATGCCACTTGAAGTAGTGCACTATTGCTGTTTAATATTCATGTTACTTTAACCGTCTGTTAATGTATGATTTTCACAGCTGTTTTTAGTTTTTGTCAAGTTACTTACACTAATATTTGTTTTATTTTCAGGCGTCTGGATTACTTCATCTTGTCACAAAAATTGATCCCAAACTTATGTGACAGTATAATTCGGAGTGGGGTTTATGGAAGTGATCATTGTCCCATCACATTACTTATCAATATTTAAACATTTCTGTATATCCGTGGTTAAAATTTTTAACTTTTCTTTGCAGAATTCTTTATATTCCTCCAGATTTTTTTGGGAAGTATTTTTACTTCTTTTTAGTTTACGTTTTGTGGGCCAGCAGCCGGTAATTTAGTTTTATATATGGAGGACCTGGGAAGATAAAGTTATTAGAAACAAATTGGCTAGTATGTTCCAGACAAGCAAAAATTGTTTAGTGGTTTAATTTATGGTGGTAGTCACATTTCCTTATCCAATGTATTGCATTGGAAACATGAAATTCTAACAGTAAATGTGAGCATTATCATACACTCTGAAGGGAACTTTTTAGTTATCTGAAATTAAAAATGAATATGTATTTATTGTTAGAAACTGCAAGAAATATACACGACATTTAGTAACATTTTCTAAAACCTCAACTCCCCCATGTGTTTTCATGGCATGGTGCTTAATTGGGACTTTTACCTACAGATGGGGTTTGGATTGGTAATTTGATTTATTGGACACTTTACAGATCACACAAAGACTAGTATTGTCAGTTACAGTCCTCACCGCTCTGATCCCTAGCTCATGTCCTCACAGGATGGTAGCCACCTTACACCAACTCCCTACTCTTTTTAACTCTCATCTCAAAACTCCCGCAATGGCAACTGGTCCTCGTTATATAGCTTCGGAACAGGCTGCACAGAAAACACCGTTTCCAACAGTTGTGCCATTGTTGCATGTTACACAGCCATTACCTAGCAATGGTTGTTTCTCTGGCTTCACAGTTATTGCTTCAAGCAAATATGCCATGATATGTATAGTTATATTGTGGGAGAGATATGTCCCATCTATGGCCCCAAACTGTTGGGCACTTAATGGATTCCACTTGCCGGTGCATTTAGGCCGAGGCAAAAAATATACTCACCACAGGTTTTATGTTATGTTAACTCCTGTAGCAAGTGGACAAGTATACTTCTGAAAGCAATTAATTTTCATCTGGTATTTATGTTTAAAGTTCAAGCTTATTTCATCATGGTTAAGCATGTATCTTTACTAGAAGTTTTACAGTACAAGGTTTTACCATTATATTCTCTGCCTTCGTGGTTGATGGGTTGTATACAGCCTATGATAAATAGTGAGACATTTATTTTCTTTTTTTATGTGTTTTACAAATATTTGTAGTATTTTAACTCAACACTTTTAAGAACATAAATAGCTTGTATCTTGATTACCTAAGTTATATTTTAATTCGGATTACTAAAACCTTGAAACATTAATCAGTATGCCAGTGAAACAGGACATCATAGTTTCACTAATTGTTTTTCCATTGCTATAGTACCACATATTGTATTACTAATTGGCTGTTTATTTTGAACACCTGAATTGTGGCAGTCTTTGAACCTGTATGTTGTTCGTCATTATTAAAAATGTTAAAACCATGATGAGAGTACCAGTTATATCCATTTATCAAAGAAGCCATCTCAATCATCTGCAGGGAGAATGGTTAGTGATTGCCTATATTCATCATGAAAACTTTCAAATCATATCCATTTATCAAAGCTATATATTGAGTTTTCTAGGCAGTGGAGCCATGGAAGAACCTTTGTTGGTGAGTCCAGTCATTTCCCAGAGACACATGTAGCTTTCAACTCCTGCAACCATATGTGATCTATTTTGATTTGTTTGTTGGACATCCTGTTGTGTGTATCAATAGTATGTGGTATATCCATCAATAACAACTTTTTATTTTCAGTAATTGATGTTTATTGAAATGTTACTCTGCTACATGTCTTGGTTGTCTAGACCAGTGGTTCTTAACCTTTTTTTTTCTTGTGGCCCCCCACCCCTCATATTGTTTAATTATAATAAATGTAATATTTATAATAAATATTTTATCAACTGCACTTTTATTTATTTTTGTTTATAACCCCCTCATTGGCGTCTCCACCTTATCATGGTGAGGGGGTTTGAGTATGCCAAGGACTCCGAGAGCTATACCAGCGGTAGCGTAGCTACTGGCAGGGCCTCCCTTGCTGGACAGGTCAAAGGGTAGGCATCAGACGAAGAGAGACCAAAAACCAAAAACTGATGCTGAAATTTAGTACAAGAAAGAAGATCACAATTAAGTAGAAACAAGGAGGTAAGTGAGGATGTTAAAAAGGTGACTTCAAGAAGAGGAGGCAATAAGAGGACAGTTAAAGTACATTACATCCCCATTTATGTATGTAAGAGCAGAAAAGTAGAATACCATGGGACAAATCATGGCTGTTGGTGTTGAAAAGAAAGGTTTAGCAGTGTTGAAGATATTTCAGGATATGTGTTGCATGTCTGATGTGAATTCTGAATTAGTAATCATGAAGCATGTGAAAGAAATCGGCAGTTGTGCTGTGAGATGAAAATTCAGCTTTATTGAAGTAAATGGCACTAGAAGAAATAGAGAAAGTGTGATCAAAATGTACCAAATACACAAAAAAGGAAACATCTTGGGGCTAAAATAAGGAAAATACAAAGACATAGAACCTTAGTGAAATTGAAAACATCATCTAATAATGATAAAAATATGCTCTTTTCTTCCTGGAAATAAAAAAATTTTAAGAGGAAGTCATCTTGTATTTTGGCAATTCATTATCTGCTGAATTGTTTATGAAGCAGAAACCTGTAATGAACTGTAGACAGTCTTAGTGGTCACTAAACAGTGAGACAAATATATTTCCAATAGGAGAAAACAGCCAATGCTCAGTGATAGTAGGCCAGTTCAAAAAGCAATGAAATAATAATACTGAAAAGTTCCAACAGAATGAGGTGTAGTGTACTGCAAATCCTTGTCGTTCCTCACAGGTACATATTACTGAAAAGCAATGGGGCAACACTTACATCATTATGGGAAGCTGTAATCAATAACTGTGGGCTTCTAGAAGTTTACGTTTAATCTACAGAGCAGGTAGTCAGAGAGTTTACTATAACATTCTGGCATAAGTTTCATGATCTTAACAGTTCTAGCTAGAGAAACTGATTGTAAGCTTACAAATGGATTAAAGCAGGCAGGTGTGTTACTGGACAAAACCTTATCAGAAGATTGAGTGCTCAGTGAAGAGAAACTGAATGAAGTTGGTGCTGGGCTTGAACATATACTCTTTGGAAACCCTGCAGATGCAGTGCACAGGAGACTAGGGTTTTACATCTTCAGTATGTGTCGCAACCATATGAGGCTGCTAACAGAATGAAATTTTGTAATTCACTCCTTCAGTCTGTGAAAGATACATGTCTCATACAGCAAGGTTATTCACTTACAGTTTGAGGTAGGTAGTGGTGGAGAGAGTGCACTCATCTTAGCATCAGGCTGTGTGATTTATGGAGAACTCATAAGCAAAAAGTTTACAGATGAAACCTGACACAGCTGAACAACTGAAGGGAAATAGCTGAAAGGGAGATTTTCCTGTTTCTCAAGAGCTTCTGTGCATGAATGTAAACTTTTCAATGAGGAGGAATGCATTAAGGACAACAACAGTATTTCCAGCATCTGGTGTAATGTAAGTTTCATTTGTAAAATGTTTTGCTGTATGATTTTTCTGCTTGTCCAAATGTTAGCTGGCCCAACATGATATAAGGATCAGTTGACCCTTCCACCTAAGAAGTTCAAAAGAAGCTCACTGCACATTTTAGGATTTATCTAAATAAAATTAATAAAGCATGGGAACTAACACTAATTTTAATTTGCCATACAAATAAATGGCCATTTTACTAGTGATTATCAGTTTCTTTTGTGGACAAGGCGGAGATGATTCAATCTATATTCAAATGGACCATTTTATAAGATGATACTACTTGTGGGTGCCTCTTAGTATAATTACCCTCCTTAAAACTAGGGGAGAAAACCTTTACAGGATATTGTTGAAGGAAATGTGGGATTTATTTTGGCTTCTCTATGATCATGATTGTAATTGAGTATTGATTTGTATTCAAGAGAGACTATTGTTTATATTGAATAATATCATGTGAATATCAGTTGAAAACAGAGGTGTGTGTTGCAGTACACCCATCTAATAGGACTCAAGTGAATGAGTTATTTTAGGATAGCATCTAAACTGCTGATCTTAAGGTATGAACAGCAAGTAAAAGAGGCATGCAGTAGCATAGTTTGTTGAGGCACTATGCTACAAGCCAGAAGATCACAGGTTTGATTCCCAATTAGATCATTGCATTTTTCAATTTACCTAAGCCTTCCAGCTACACTATGGCCATGGGGTCAACAGCCTCTCATGAAAATTAGAACCAGGAATCTTCCTGGGGGGGATTAAGCCCGGTGCATAAAGCTGAGAACCTCACTACCATCTGCGAGCCGATTATCTAGAAAATGTGGGAGCATTGACAACTCTCAACCCTATGACCCTCCACGGCCTGTTACAGGGATAGGTTTAGCTCTTTTTATGCAGGCTAGGAAGAGTCAGTTAAATTTATTACACTTTTAAGATACTGAAGCTATTTAGACTAGATTTTTATGATAGAAGGTATTCACCTTCAGAAAACTGCCTTTATGGAATTGTAAGCAATAAAAGATCACTATTGTACTATATGCTCTTTTGTCGTCCTTTTTTTCACCAGTCTGTGTAACTGTTTGAAGCAGGGAGTCACACATTCACTTCGCATGCGTTGGATTTCTTTCCTCCTCCTATGGTTTATGACAGAAGACGCGCACATTGTACGCTTTCTGCAAAGACTGCTAGAAACATATTCTGGAAAGGGCCTCTCAGACATTGAGGAATTTCTCCACTTGAGAACATTCCACTCCTGGATGAGTCTTCTTTCTTTACATTCTTGAAAATCTGAAGACCACATATTTCTAATTTTCAGTTACAGTGCATAAGCATTGAACAGTGGTACTTAGGAATGTAAAGTGGCAATTTATTATACCACTTTACAGATTTATGACTCCCCTGAACAGTGCTGAGCAGCATATGAGCCCAATTTACCGCACCCATTTTATTTCTACAGTCCAAAATTTGATGTTCTATTTTCCAGTCATGCTTTCCTGTACTCACAGTTTTAATTGAATGGTTAACACTTTGCGGACTGCACACCCTTTAAAAGGTTTTTCGCTTTTAAACACGGCGGACCGTTCGCGTCTCAACAGGTTTTTAGAACACGATAAGTTGCAACACACTATACATCGCTCTGGCACAACCTACATTGCACACAACTGCCTGCAGATGCGTGATAAGACTCTGGAATGTTTAGTCAGCAGTCAGTAACTTGACTTCGCTGTTTACTTAACCGACTATAAAGGAAATTGCTTTGCCTTCTTCAAGCTGTGTGTATCAGCCAGTAGCTAGTGGGGAGAATGGATCAAGGACAAATTTTCCTCCGATGACCTAGCTGACCTACCTTGTGAGACATGTAGTAATGGATTGTCATTCAGAGAGCGACAGTGACGGGGGACAACAAAGAATTGTGGCCACAGACAGTAAAAGTAACAGGAGCTCCGACGATAATGCAGGTAATATCATTGCGCGTAGTAACATTGCGGGGACAGCAAAAAATCTACACCCTGATTCAAAATTGAAATACAAAGCATTTCTGATGAATGTGGCAAAGGCCTGGGCTACAGTCCAGATGGTGGCGGCAGAACCAGGGTCACACAAAGACTTAGTATGACCGGGCCCATCAACTCCCACCCCACGAAGGCCTCATCTGTACTCCCCAGGGCGACTCTTGAGTGATATGCGGAAAAATACCCTTGTGAAAATTGTGAAGAGTGAACATTCCAAGGGAAGAATACTTCTAGGCAATGCCGTGTTTGCACAGTTCACAAAAAAAGGAGTATGTCTACATTTGCAAGTTCTGTGTAATGCCACTTCACAAAGGGGAAAGTTTCCAGAAATGTCACACCCTCAAACACTTCTAGGAGCATTGTTAAGTGTTCTCCAAAAATTTTAGTTCAAAAAATTAATTAGGAGATTTTATATTAAGTTTTAAAGTGAACAGTGCACTAGTTAGGGTAGTACGTTTAAAAATGCCGGTCCCCAGGGTGATTTAAATATTTAAATCACCGGTCCACGAAGTGTTAAAAACATTCTTATATTCCAACTGCCACCATAATATGGCCATAAGTGAATGACTGGTCATTGATTCATTTACTGTACTTCATCAGGCAAACCTTTCTGTTGCCTAACACTGCCAAAGGAATGGGTCTTAAGTTTGTGAATGAACAAGGACAATGCAAAGCTGGTGTACAAATTACCAGTATCAACTGTGTGATCTTTACTCAGATATGACAAAATCAGTGTGGTGACCACTGATCTGGCACCGCTATATTGGATTCAGTTCAGTGTTAGTGTCTTTCTCCTATGTGTACCTGGATGTTCAACATACACGTACATCCAGTTTCACAAATTTCCATGAGAAAGGGAGAATTAAGCAACACAGTGTTTATATCCAGAAGTTTGTGTGTATAATGTTATTATACCCATATAATGATTATTACAGTAATTAAATGGAATGTAGTGCTTTTTATTGGGTTTAGTCTTCTCCAGCTGGAATGGCATCCTCTAATCTTTTGATGAATTTTATTCGTAGTTCCGTTACATTGTCACCTTTTAGCTGATCTTGTACAAACCATGAAGTGACTTCCATCTGAACCTGAAAATATTGAACACAATGAGGTTTTGCAAAAAGAAGCAGAAAAGCCCAAGGTAATGACTGACTCATCAAAAGGAAATTATTATAAGGATTCAAGAATTTGTCCTACATGTATTGTTGCTGGGAAGGCATTAGGAATATCTTCCATCAAATGAAACTTGGATTGAAGTGTCCTGGGAAAATGAGGTAGAAAAGAAATGGGACTCTTTCTTTATAGCATTTTTAACTATTATTTTAATATAGCCCATCCCAAACTGAGGAGAAATACCATAAGTACTTCAAAAAGCCCCTGGATAAAAAAAGATGCTATAATAGCAATAGCAAAACTAAAGGATTTGTACAATGTTGTATTTTAGCGTCCTGTTGCACTGATTTTCATCCATGATATGTATACAGTGGCCGTCTTGTAGTGCACTCTATTTCACCTGTTACTTCACGCCATGTTTCGGCAACATAGTGCCATCATCAGGTGCCCTAATTACACTATCTACTGCATTGCTTGCCATTATATGTCTTTATAAAATTATTTAAGAAGTATTTAAAAAGTGCGTATTCGTCAACTATAATAAATTTACACACACTAAAACTTGTGAAGATTATTCATCTTGAAGAAAGCAGTCTTTTGGGATTTGGCACCGTGTATAGGTGGTGTTAACCGACGTTTCGGAGGAACGTATCGCCTCCATCTTCAGGGTAGAAGAAAATATAAGAATTCTGCAAGCAAAGAGACCGTGAGAACCGGTAAAAGCATCTTATGTGTCTTACTTAAAACTTGCATGTGGTTCTTCTAATATGGGGGTCGTTTTTCTTATATTCTGTGTATACCATGTCTTGTGATGTGTGTTCCCTTTTTAGCTGTGAAACACAACTTCAAATAATATAGGAGTGGTAGAGCAATACTTTGAGACAAAAAATTTATTTATAAATACATCTAAAACTCACTATATACTCTTCCAGACAAAACAATGAAGGCAGGAAAGTAATCTAAAAATCTTAATAAAGAACAGGGAAATATCAAATGTAAAAGGCACAAATTTCCTGGGGGTAGTAACAGATAGTACCTTGAGCTGGGAATTACATATTGAAAAAACCTGCAGTAGAATTAGCCATAACCTGTTCATAATTAACAGGCTATCTAAAATACTCAATTTAAACGAAAGAAGAATGTTGTATTATGGTTTGACCTATCCTCATCTATCTTATGGAATAATAGTATGGGGGCATAGTGCTAAGACCCTCACCAGAAGAATTTTTGTACTCCAAAAAGGGCAGATACATTGCAGGGCTAAAACATCCGGAATCGTGCAGGGATAGCTTTAGAAATCTACAGATACTAACAGTATACTCGCTATATATACAAGAAACAATCCTATATGTAAAAAAGAAGTGTAACTGCACAGTGAATGAACAAATACATACATATAACACAAGAAATAATAAAGACTGTCATATATATGGGCACAACTTGGAACTTTATAATAGTAATCCTTCAGTAGCTGGCTGTATCTTTTACAACAAACTGTCTAACAACATAAAAGAAATAGAAAACAAAAATCAGTTCACAAGGGAATTGAAGAAGATACTTATTCAGAGGGGCTATTACTCAACAGTGGACTATTTGAATGATGAATTCTCGAATATTGCTTATTGATATAAGCAGAAATATATAGTATATAGTGTATAAAATGTAAGTATGAGTGTTACAACCCAGAACACTACCTCAAATGATGGCCCAGTAACAGTATGTGTAATGACAAAATGGGGAATGAACCATCTGTGGTCCAACAGTTTACCTAGCATTCACACTGACCTGCCAAAACGTGTTCTGTGTAGTGCATACACTGGCATATAATTGGAGAAATTATATAAGAAGTATGGTATTTTACAACACTAACATAAAATACAAGTAAGTTGTGTAACTTATATATATTTCAGATAATTGTACCATCTCGCATGCTCCTCTTATCACTCCGGTTAAGATATTTGCATACTTCAGGTTGAGGCAATGGTCAGGAAGTTCAACAAACTCTGTTAAAGGATTGGTCTCAAACTGTAGAGAAAACTCATCACCAGCAGAACTCCAGTTTGTAATTGAAGGAGTCACACCAAGAAATAATCGGAAACCCATCTAGAAACAAAAATGCATGAACAGATATTTAGATGCTAGAACGATTTCATTAAGTAATGCCGCAATGATTTGAAGGTCACAACTGTAAAGTTATCTCAGTTCCTTTGTCAATTATTAGCACTGGACGACATGAAGGAAGAGGACTGGATAAATGAGGAAGCCATCACTGCTTATTCTTGTTATCTATGAGGATCATACTGAAAGTCATGAGCAACGACATTTTGTAAAGTAACATGCTTTATTATTGACAAACCAAATACACCACCTCAATCTACAGACCTTTCTTTATTTTTCCACATAATCGCCACTTCTTTGTACACATTTCTCCAGTGTTCTGGGAGTTTTAAAATTCTCCTCCTGTAAAATTCTGCTCCAGCCATTCGAAGACACTGACGCGCTGCTTTCTGAATTGCCTCCCTTGTCTCAAAACGTTATCCATGCAGCTGATCCTTCACAAATCTGAAAAGATGGTAGTCTGAGGGTGCCAGATCAGGGCTATAGGAAGGGTGTGGAAGAACTTCCCACCCCATCTTTGCAATTGCTTCCAATGTGAGGCGAGCAGCATAGGGGTGAGCTCTGTCATGTAGGATGATGATGTTTCGTCCCAGACGTTTATCGCACAATGCACGACGGAGCTTGTGCAGCGTCTGGACATAACGAGCAGCAGTGATGGTTTGCCCAGGTTCCAGGAATTCGGTCAGAATAAACCCCTCTGCATCCCAGAAGACTGTGCCCATCACCTTCGCAGCTGATGGCACTGTCTTTGCCTTCTTTTCTGATGGAGAATGCAAATGGTGCCATTCCATACTCTGCTGTTCCGTTTCGTTTCAGGCTTGAAATGGTGAAACCAGCTTTCGTCACCTGTCACAATACAGAGCAAAAAATCATCGCCTTCGTGTCGATATCTCTGCAGCAGTTCTGATGTGATGACTTTTCGCTGACCTTTGTGGTCTTCAGTCAATAACCGCGAGACCCAACATGCACAAACGTTCCTATAGCCCAAGCTTTCAATCATCTCCTGAACTGCACTGTGCCCTATTCCAAGTTTTTGGGCCATTGTGTCCACAGTCACATGCCTGTCAGCTTGAATGATCTCATCCACTCTTTCCTTGTTGTGTTCAGTTGAGGCTGTTCGAGGATGACTGCTCCGACACTGATCTTTGATGCTGGTGTTCCCATCTTTAAAATGTTTCACCCATCTTCGAACACTGTTCGCACCCATGCACACACTTCCATAAGCATGCTGAAGTCTCTGGTGAATTTCTACAGCAGAGATTTCCTCTTTCACAAGAAATTTGATGACAGCACGCTGGCAAAACGACATATCGTTGTCGGCCATTTTGTTAGGAGTGATACTGGTCATGTGATGCAAGCTACTGACATCACAAGACACTCAAGGTTCACACAACAGCTGGTTTCACCTACCACCATACTCTCTTTCGTCTGCTGTTCCCATGTTGCATGCAAAAAAAAGTTGCTCATGACTTTCAGTGTGACCTATGTAAGAACTAAGAAAAATGATGAAAGATCCCAATTAGGATAGCTGGTATTCCAGCTCTGAGTACAACTGGTTACCTGTTACATGAGAGACAAGCAACATATAGCATAGCTCCTAAAGGAATGCATGTTCACACTACTGTCCTCAGCTATGAAGGGCAACCTAAAATACACAGTACATGCTGGGACATTCTGGCCAAAGGGGTACTATTAAAAACAAATGGTTTGTAGCAGAAATTTCCTTGTCACCCATGTCTTACTGATGCCCTACTATACTGATCAGAAAGTTGCATATTAGTACTGGTGAGGAAACTTATGTAAACTGATACAGGCTTACAAAATGAAATGAGAACGACCTGTATTCTAAAAATGTTTAAGCATTAAGAATTGTAGACTGAAGCTCATAAAATGCCAGTTACTGTTTTCCAGACTACAGTTTTTGCTTAAATGACTGTATCAGGGATTACACAGTGATCACTGTGCAGCTGAACAAAAGTATGGAAGTTGTGATACTGAAATATTCTCCTTAACAGAAAGTCATTTTCATATTATGTCTGTAAATATATATATATATATATATATTTTTTCATATATATAAATATTATCAAGCAAAAAATCTCAACAAGATAATTCTAAGAAAATTGTAGTAGTATTATTTAAACATTATTCATTTACAGTACATTACCTTGTCTTACCTGGATTTTGTCAGCAGTGTCTCTGAAATCATAACATCGACCAGAACTGGTGCGTGCTAGGAAGTCCTCAATTAATCTTATGCCAATATTATAGCCCATTCTTTCAAGTTGTTTGTTAACATCATCAACATTTTCATAATCTTTCAGTAGTTGAGAAACTAAAGCACCATAGGTGAGAGTGAATAACTCTGAATTCTAGAACACAAATTATTAAATAAGAATTCACATCGATGTAATGATGGCCACTTTGAAAAGGATGTTAACAAATTTAATCAAGGTATGTAGAACAAGTAACTTAAATATAGTGTTAACTGACTTCACACACTTTGCACTCATATGCTACCATCAGGGGCTGGCGAGTGTGCAGCCTACTAGAAATGTCATTAAAAATATATACAGATGAATTTAAGTTTCGTTTAGAATGCTTCTTGCAAGATTGTTGAAAAATAAACCTTCAAAAACTGACTTCGATATATTTATATCTGCTTGAAACATTCAATATTTTAGGTGCAAGTATATGATACAGTTTGAATCCCCATAACGTCATATAATACCACAAAACTAAACTGAATGAAACCTAACCTAGTACTGAAACAGATCTTCAAGGAACAGGGTGTGAAACATGGACTGGATTCAACTGCCTTGAAGATACAGTCCAGTGAAAAGCTTTTATGAACACGGCAATGGACCTTTGGTTAATAAAATAGGCTGGGAATTGTTTCACCAACAGAGGGACTATCAGATTCTCAAGCCGGGCACTCCTCCATGGAGTTCGACAACCCCCAATATAATTAGAATGAATGCATCTTCGTACCGAACACTACTGAAAACACATTATTGACCTTAAGATGTCGGAATGTTCATATCACAGAACTGCATTGTTTATTACCTTCTCGATGAAATTATGATGACATCAATAATTTAAAATATAATTATACTTACAACTTTTTTCGAATCCAACCGCGTACCTTGCCTTGACATTTTTACGTCTCCTACTCGTTTGTGTACCACTCCTGCCAAAGGTTATTACCGGGTATGACCACAGAAGCACAAAAGTATGACAGAAATGTATGTCCAGGTGACATTTGCGCATGCAACTACTGCCATCTCTACGCAGCTGCTATTCGGAAACTAATCCCAATACACATGCGGTATCATATTTATTGCATCTGCAAAGACAGGCAGCAGTTATGCTATCGTGATGTCAAGGCGGCCATGTGGCCCACCAATGACGGTACCGACAACTCTGGACTGGTAATCCGCGTTCTAAATGTCACACAGTTGAGGCCGCCACGCATCCGAATTTTAATGTCATGGTTACTATCACACTGATATGTGGGATATGTGGTCAGTACCTGTCCGTGTTCGAGATGTTCGAGATCGATCGAGATGTAGTAATGGCTAACCTGCTAGTGGTAGGTAGGTTAAGTAGTTGTTTCCACCCCGACAGAATCAGCTGGCGATCGAGAATTAATAGTAAATTAGTTATACAATATGGATTACAGTCTAGGAGAAATTTTAGTCTTAAAGTGTTAAACAAGTTATCGAAAGGTATTAAAAAGCAGCTGGACAATGTGAAAATATTTACAGGTTTAAGGGTAAGTAATGAAAAAAGTTAACGCTATCCCTGTAACAGGTCATGTGAGTCCGTAGGTTTGTGAGACGTTGAGGGTCCCACATTATCTAGACCGCTCTAGACAATCGGCTCACAGATGGCCGTAAGGTTGTCAGCCTTGCGCTCCGACCGCCATTCACCCCCACGAAGATTAAAGGTACTCATTTCTGTTAAGAGGCCCATACACGTACGAGTCTGGCTCGCGAGTCCGATTCGGCTCTGGTTCCAGTGAACCAAACTCGTCCGTGTGTGAGTCGCAAAGTTGGGAGTCAACTCATGCTTTTGTGGTGAAATTAATCCAAGTCAAGCTCGCGAGCCAGACTCGTATGTGTATGGGCCCCTTTAGAAGGTGAGTCGACCACAGTGCCATAGTCTGGCCGGACGGATTAGGCCAATTGAAAAAAAAAAAAATCAACCTCATTGAGACTCGAACCCTCAACATTCTGGCTTGTAGCATAGTGCCTCAGTCAATTATGCTACCGCATGTGAAGCAGTGAGTCTCCACAAAGTGAACATTTTCATGTGGCAGTAAAAGAATTCCTTTGGTCACACGCTGAATACTCTATTGATGAAGGTATAAACCTTGAATAAGTAAAAGCAACCCTGAAATTTTATACAGAATTATAGAACTTATGGAGGAATAATCATGAAGAATTTCAGTTTGTATAATAGGTTTGTTGTGTGCTTTAATGTTTGTTCACTTGTTGTGTTTTGATGTATTCCACATTCTAAGTAACCGGAATCCATGGAATGCATATGCATATCTCAGTATTTTTTCAGATCCCATTTGTAATATGGGTTTTTTTTTTCATGTCCTGAGTTATGTATGCATGTCTGAAACCACGGGATCTAGGTTTCCATTGATCACTGCACTGGAGATGGTAGATTCCTGCCCTGGCCTCTGCCTCCAACTGTAGATGCAGTGGGGAGAGTCCAAGGAGTATCTCCAGTGCAGCTGTTGGAGATGTTTGAATTGCTCCTCTGATACCCAAGCAAGCCAACCTTTGCAATTTGCTAAGTATGAAGCAAGAAGCAAGCAGGTAGTTTATGATTTTTTGGCCTTCTGTCTTCTCACTTGTGCTGAGGGTCCCGGCCATGGGTGATGTGAGGAGCTTATGCCTTCTGCACTAGAATGGGAAAATGATTTGCATCAGGCCCTTGGATATGTACATCATGGAGCAGAGTCGTGCAGCAGTTTCAGAAATCTACATCATGTGATACTGTAAACTGCTCATAGCCTATGTTAAAATACTCCATTATATGAATGAGTTCAGGAGGGGGTAGTCAAAATTGTGTTTCTTGTTTATACGAGGCATGAATAAGATATTGCTTTGGTTTGTATATAAAGAAACATTCTTTTTCTGTATGGCTCAACATCAGTTTTCTTTCTCCTGACAAGCAGTGGATTTCTAAATATTAGTGTAGATATCGATGTGCATGCAGATAGGAAACTAGGGCAGTGGAGCTCTGTACCTTGTTCATTGCTCCCTGAATGGATGAGCTGAGGATTACTGCCCTGATTACATTGAAATATAGTGTTCCAGCATATTTATGTGTGTGTGTGATTGTGTGTATGTGTGGGTGCATGGTCACATACTGATTATTAGATACAATAATGAATAAAGTATTTCAGATGATATCTTAAGGCGAAATGGGAAGAACACACAGAAGAAGGAAAAGGAAGATTCGGAGAAAAATTTCTTCAAATCTACATTCGTCTCCATATTTCATTAATTTAACACAGTGGATGAAGAAGCATGGCTGGTCACCAACTTGCACGCTGTGTCCTGTAGAATTCTATGATACAGGTCGTGGTTTAAGGACAGAAAGAAGTATCGCTAAAAATGAGGTGATAGTGAGCATACCACTGGAATTACTAATAACAGTTTCTAGAGTGCAAAGTTCTGATATTGGGTGGCTTTTTAGCAAGTATAGTGGTGTTAATGGAGCACATTTCTCTTCTCAGCAAGTGCTTGCAGCTTTTCTTATATGGGAGAGGCACTTAGGACATCACTCAGTGTGGGAACCATATTTGAACAGTTTACCTTTAGACTATTCAACACCATTATTTTGCTCCAGTGAAGAACTACATTTATTGCCATCTGTTTTACTAGAACCAATTTTAGTTCAGAAACAGAAAGTGATAGACACTTTTAGTGAGTTAGAAAGTATTTTAAGTACTCAGAGTTGGAAATGTTGGCATTGTAATGAATCATTAAGCAGCATAATCCATTTTGAAGAGTACCTTTGGGCCTGGTCTGCTGTGAACACTCGCTCTGTGTATTTAGATGAGTGTGTGGTTAGCCACAGTCTCAGTATCCAAGATAAGAGCTGCTTAGCCCTGGTACCTTACTTGGATATGTTCAATCATTCAAATGATGTTGATGTGCAAGTTGGATTGAGTTCAGATAGAAACTGTTATGAGATACAGACATTGACACCTTTTGCGAAACATACACAAGTGTTTATTAGGTATGGTTATCATTCAAATCTAAAATTATATACTGAATATGGCTTTATACTTCCTTTCAGTCAACATGATTTTATTCCATTGTTATTTGAAGAAATACTGAGTTCTGTAAAAGATGTTTATCCAGTAAGATTTAATTGTTCGGCTTCAAAATTAAATTTTTTGAAAGTTCGTAACCTAACAGAGAACTTGTCATGTAATTCTGAGGGTCTGTCTTTTAATGTGAAAGCCCTGATTTATCTTCTTATGACAAGTGAATCAAAAAAATATGATTTAACTCGAAGGATATATTCCTCTGATTTCACTTCTGAAGAAAATGTAGCCATTTGTAAAGTTGGAAAACAGTTAATCAAACAGAAATGTTCAGAATTTGAAAGTGTTTTGAACATGATGAAGCAGAAGAAAAGTAATGGTTGTTCAAGGAGTTTTGAAGTTGCTAGTGATTTGATTTTAGAGTATATAAATTTGTTAAAGAGGGCTGAGAAATTAGATTCTAAAGAGTTCTGATAGTGGTGTCTCTAACACTTGAAACTACTGCGTTTTTGGGCTTTGTCTAGTGAATGGTATTCTAAAAACTGGGGAATGCAACCTTTCAGACACTGGATCCATTTCCATCCTCAGGTGAGCAGAGAGACACATACTCTCTTAAGTCCCTGATCATCTTAAGATTTCAGTAGTAAGACCGTTGTACAAAAAAGGGGAAAAACAATATGTAAATCTACAGGCCAACTTCACTGTTTACTACTTTCTCTTAAGTTCTTAAGATATTTATGCACAATAGGTTAATCCATTATTTGCAGACTAATAATGTATTAGTCCCAGAAGATTTTGGCTTCAGGAAAAGAATATCTACTGATAATACAGCCTTCAAACTAAGAGACTGTGTATTAAAATCTATTAATCAAGAAATGCAGTTGGTGGAATATTCTGTGATTTGGCAAAAGCATTTGACTGTGAAATCATGAAATTTTATTAACTAAATTGCATTTTCTTGGCATTCAAGGAGCTGCAGCAAGTTGGTTCAGATCCTGCTTAACAGATAGAAAACAAAAGTTTGAAATAAAATCATCAAATTTAACCCAGAGTACCTAGTAAGACTGGGGAACAATAAGGCATGGAGTTCCCCAGGAGCCATTTTAGGGCCTTTGCTTCCTATAATGTATGTAAATGATCTGCCTCCTACACTAAACACATCAATACTCATCATATTTGCTGATGACACTAGTATCATAACTTCTAGTAAAAATTTAGATGATTTCTGCACACTATCAAGCAAAGTTCTCTCTCAAATGAGTAAATGGTTTTGTGCAAATGAGCTGTCCCTGAATCTAGGTAGAACAATTGTAATAAAATTGATAACAAAAAAGTCACCACAGTATGCATTAAACACTGGGTGTGGTGATAGAAGAGGCAGTAAATAAGCTTACGAATTGATAATCTGGAAGTCAGTATCGGTCAGTTTGTTCCAAAGCTAAGTGCAGCATAGATCTGTTTTGCATATCAGCAACATTGACACTCTCAAATCAATATACAAGGGTTGGATAAAAAATAGTGGCAACACTGCTGTAACGTGAAAGATGTGTATCAGGTGGTACTAGCGCCGTCCGTAGCTGATAGCAGAAGTAGAAGTAGTGCAGTGAGTGGCTCTGATTATGTTTCATTGAGTTGCATTGTGCATCGTCTTGAAGTGCAGGCGCCCAGTTCAAGTACCCTAACAACATGTCTACGAAACAAGAACAGCGCTCCTAGATAAAAATTGAAGTTGCACGAGGTTGTAGTGCACAAAACTCTTATCAGGGACTGTGAGAAGCATATGGTGATGGTGCTTTGCCATATCGCACAGTGGCACAATGGGTGAAATTGTTCTGTGAAGGGAGGGATGCCATTCAGGACAGCCATTGTTCAGCATGACCCCATGTTGACAGCCACACAATTCAGCTTCTTGCTTTTTTGCTGGATGATGATCATTGATGGGTTGCGGGAGTTAGCTGCTGAGGTAGACGTAGGTCACAAAACCGTGCTCCACGTTCTGCACGATATTCTTGGATACCGCAAAATTGCAGTGCGTTGGGTATCCCATACAATGTCCGAGGTGCAACAATGGCAACATTATGCAATTACACAGGACTTGTTGGACCGGTATCAGAAGGAAGGCGATGGCTTCCTTGGAATGATCGTCACTCTGAACGAAACTTGGGCTCGCTCATACGAACCACACTTAAAGCGACAATTAAATGAATGGAAGCATCCTGGCTTTCCTCGTCCAAAAAAAGTGCTCCCTACATAGAGTAATGTGAAGACAATATTCACTGTGGCATGTGACGTTGATGGAGTGATACTGTACCACACTGTACCTCAACAACAGACAGTAAATGCTACCTACTACTGCAATTTCCTGCATAATCATCTTCATCCGATACTCAGGAGAAAGCGATGACACTTGTTAGCCACGAACCCCATCATCCTTCATGACAATACTGCTGACATACTGCTGACGCTGTCAAGATTCTCTTTCCCCACTAGCGAAGGGAGATACTGCAACATCCGCCATACTCACTCAATATGAGTCCGTGCAATTATGATCTCTTTGCCAAAATGAAAGAACCACTGTGAGGTACACATTACAACACAAGAGAGGGGATTATTCGTGCTGGAGGGTGGTCACTGCTGGACATCAACAGAAGTGGATGCGCTGATGGTGGTACACATGGGGGGGGGGCGATTATATTGAAGGAATGTAAGTGTGTTTACCTCAGTAATAAAGTCATTTCAGAACTATAGAGGTGTTGCCACTACTTTTTATCCAACCTATGTATTTTGTTTATTTTCACTCTTTAATGAAGTATGGAATAATTTTCTGTGGTAATTCATCTGACAGAAAGGTATATACATTGCAAAAGAAAACTGTTAGAATCATGATGGATGTCAAATCTTGTACTTCTTGTAGAGCTCTATTTAAGAGACTAGAGATCTTAACTCTTCCATGTGAATATATGGTTTCATTAATAAACTTAATTACAAATAACGATTATTTCTGGAGCAATGCAAAAGTACACAGTGTTAACACACTGCACAAGTACTATCTTCATAAATCAACTGCTAACCTCATGATTTCAGAGAAGTGCATATTATGGTGAGATCAAAATTTTCAGTAATCTGCCATCTGATCTCAAAAGTCTTATGAATGAAGAAGCGAGATTTAAAATAGAGCAAAAATTATACTTAAACATGTTCATTATACTCTGTTGATGAATACTCATAAAAAAAAAATGGCATCAATTAGATCATGTAAGTAGCGTAAGTTGACAATATTGGTGTATATATATGTGGATGTATTTTTGAATAGTCTCGTGTGTAACCACTGTGTTTTCTTGTATGAAAACTTCAGTTGTACTGTATATATGTTTTTGTATTTATGTGACATATTCCACATCCTACAGTCATTTTGACTGACTATGGATTCGGGGAATGCAGTACACTGTAATGTAATGTGACTGAGGTCCAGTAATTGAATTTAGCTATTTCTGAGGGACCCAGCAGTCTCCCCCACATCTGGGGATGCAAGCAGATCCAGTTTTCTAAACGTAGTGTTCTCTGGTCTTATTATACTGGTTGATGGGCAAAGTCCAAAAGCCCAGTAATTCCAGGCTGAAAAGTTACTCATGCAAATAGAAATGTTACACTCAAACTGATTTGCAGAGTACTTTGTTGTATGTTACATGCTGGAATTGGTCTGTACATTTGCAGATACTTTGCTCGTAGAGACATTGTTTTCCTAATATTTAGTGAAACATCATTCCCACCATAATTAAGGAAGTAATATATGTGACATAGGTTTAACAAGTTTTGTGTGACTGACATTTGAATTTTAAGTGATTGTAATTGGATGAAATTGTTAAATGTTAAAGGTGTGTATCAATGCCATGTAGCTTGATATGTAGGGAACAGTATAATGTAAAACAGTAACAAGTACCAGGACACTGTAAAATATCTTCCATAATGTTTCCGTGATGAAATACAGTAAAACTTGGTTATAGCAACATCGGTTTCTGCGACACCTTGTCTATTGCGTCAAATATTCAATGGTACGAACTAATTCCTCATAAAGCAACTGTTTTTATACCTTGCTTAGTACGACATGCACAAATGCATCAACCTTGTATGTAACGTCATTTTCATTCCTGAATTTCTCTGATATCGTGGGAAAGTTTGATGTGTCTGTCGACCCTCACTTTATCTACTTGCTGACGTGACTGTCCTGGAAGAATACGACCGCGGGCTGCAAGAGGAGCGTGGGTTTTATGCGAAAACAAGGGTGTGGGGTGGGACTGCATGAATAGTGCAAGAGGACGCGGCAGGTTGTTAACTGCATTCATTTCTTAGAATCCCGTCTAACAGGACCTCACATTGTCTACTTACCCTATAGTGTTCCTGCCTAAACCCAGAGAAGTGCAGTAGCGAAAACATGGCAATGAAAAGGAAAGTTTTAAGCATTGAAGAGAAAGTTAAAGTGATTCGTGAAATAGAAAATGGAAGGGAAAAAGCTGATGTATGCCGCGAATTAGGTTTGGTGAATTCTACAGTACAAACGATATGGAGAATCCATATTAATTCCACGTTAATGTTACGTTAGTCTGCACTTAACTACGTATTTCACCAAAAAAAATGCAACTTTTTAACTCGGTTTTTGGTAGATTTTTACGTGACTAACATAAGACTACTGTGGAAGTGCCCATTTCAGTTACAACGACATTCGTTTATAACGACACTATTTTTAGGTCCCTTTGATGACGTTATAACCAAGTTCTACTGTATAATGATTTTTGGAGCACAAATAGAAATCTTAATAATCAAAATCAGTTATTTTAAAAAGTATTACAGATATTGTTTATATTATATTTATTTTGCTTGATAAGAAATACATTTTATTTAGGGCTAATTTTATTGCATAAATATATAGAATTAATGATTCTGATGAAAGACAGATATGTTCAAAATGTACATTGCAGCTATGTTTGAATGTACCTTCTCTCCTTTCTGCACAATTAGAATGACTACTGCATAATGCACGGTGATAAAGGTCATTTTATTTCCAGCAACGTACTGTTGCGTATGGTGTTTTAAGAAGTCAGAATGCCATATAACAGTGCACCACATTTTTATGTTTGCATTTGAGCTATACTCCTATGAATTTAAAATTACTAATTCATTTCAGGTTTGTTGGTACTTCCGATCATCAAGTGCCATAGGTTTCTGGTACCACATTCCCTGTATGCTTTCATAGAATTGTTCTTATGGTCAGGGATAATTTACTTTCTCTGTAAATCATTAATGTCTGAGTGAACCCTCCCCACAAAATCGCCTCATACTACCTTGTTTACTGTTTGTGTGGTTATGCATGTTAATAATTTTATCTGTGGCTTATAAATGTTTAAAGTATCTCATGATAATATTTTACATGTAATTCTTAAGTCATACTGCTTAACTGCATTATAGTAAACATAAGAGACATATTTATGTAATTCATACAGGGAATTTGTTGTCTTATTGCATTATTATACTTCACTAATGCAGAGAATTTAATAGCTAAGATGTTAAACTACATGGTGGAACAGGTGATGTGACCTTATATCTGCTGTTTCCCAATAAGAGGATGTTTGAAGTTAAATTACCATTGTGGGAAGTACTAAAAATGTCTGTCCTTAGTTCTTTGACATTCCTTACTGCTTCTGGAAAGATTTCAGGGTGCTCTTTCTGGTCTTAATCATGGGATTGAAGTTACTATCTGATGAGCATGTTTGTTTCTTGTATGATAAGTATTGCCTTTGAAATTTCTTCGCAGTTAAAATTCACATGCATCATATTAAGGGATATTGAAAGCAAACACTGCAGAGTAGGATTTTGTTGTTGTATTTGAGGTTCTCACAGCAATTATAATGATTAAGATTCTTTTGTTGTGCATTTCCTGCAACACAGATATGGGGCCACAGAAATCTCTTTGTTCTAGGGAAGTTAATGAGTACCAATGACAGATGCATTTTCAGCTGCGCCTTAATGGTAAGGATTAGTGGATTTTGTTACATGGCCGTTAAATTGAAGTTGTTTGTCTGGAGTCTTGACCAGTGTAATGCAGTTGCTATATCGTTTTGTAGATATCTAATAAACTTGACTACAGCTAAAAGATTGTTAGAAGAACAGCAAGGTAATGTTAACAAAAATCATTTTTTAATGTACTCCTGTCTGTAAAAGAAATATTGTGAGTGTGCCGCTTGAAGCACTAATCGCAAACTGGAAAATTATGGTAACATACCATGTGTATGTGTGCGCGCGCACAGCTTCCACTGAAGGAATTTGGGTGTAAAAGGCGATTCATATTTTGAACAGCACCTATTCACGTTTACAGTGCTTTAGTGTGTTCTGTATTATTGTAAGATGTGAATCTGGCCGGTAAGAGGAACCTAGGCTTTTTATTAATCTGAATTTGTGGGCTTGAATTTTCTGTATTGAGTAATATATTTCTGAAGAATAAAGATGTTAAATATTTATACTTTGTAGTTATTTGCTGTTTATGAAAAAGATCTGAAGACTGAATATTACAGAATGAAAACTGAACATGAATGTTGACAATGAAGAGTCTGTAAACATTTTGTATGGTAATTACCAGGGCCTGGATTTTGATGCTTTGTCATCTTTTTTTTCTTGTATCCTATGCGATGCTCTTAAATATATAAATCTCGGATATGAGCTGCTGGTTACAGAAATGTAAATTTTATAGGTATTTTTTTACATTTTTAGGTTTAAGGTCTTTTTTCATTTTGGGGGTAATTTTTTGGTAAATATTTGGACTTTTAAGGGTATTTCTTGTAATTTTTGGCCATTTTAGGGAATTTTTCTTCATATGTTTTCTGAAATGTGAATAACATGAAAGCGAAGTGTTCTTTCTTTTCTCCTTTAGGTCATTTTTCTGGATTTTTTCGGTCATTTTATAGGTCATTTTTTAATATTTTCAGGTCATCAAAATCCGGGCCCTGCATGTTACATTTTTGGATCATATTTTAGGTCATTTTTCTGGATTTTTTCGGTCATTTTATAAATATTTTCAGGTCATCAAAATCCGGGCCCTAGTAATTACCATTCTGTTTTGTAGCTTTATTTGTTGTGTGCTATAGCTCTTAGAATGCATTTGTCAATTGAAAAGATTATAAACACCTGTAAAAATCTACTACATGTTTACTACATGTTTATATAGCAGACACCTGATTTGTTTGTCAACTACTTAGCTATCATTGGTGGCATTTTTCATGGGCTTTTTCCACTTTTTAGCCACATTTCAGAATAGTACCTTGGAAAAGTAATATTTTTCATTATTCCAATACAGTTTTCTTGCATTTCAGTAGCCTGGGCTAATACTTATTGGGGCAATTTTAAAATCTACCTTCTCAGGTATCCAAGCTATGATACACTTCTTCATTATTCATGTAACAGTGATTTAAGAGTCAAGTGATAAGAAGCAGTGTATAATGATTGAAATAATATTGGCAACACAGCTGTGTACAGAATTATACAAGAATGGTCCCATAGGTTCATGTATCCACAGTATTTTTATTGATTGTTGGAAATGAAAAAGTACAAGTTTTTTGGAGTCCATTGCATGCCAAATTTTGTGAAAATTTATGAACTAGTTCAGATGCTGGAATGGGGTGCACACACGGCATTATGATCTGATAAGCTTAGTGTTTTCCTTCTGAAAGGAAAGTAGGCTAAAATAGCCCTGAATTCATTATTTGCATTTGAACTCACAGAGTGTTTGTCTCCACAAAGATAATAAACAGACATAATAGTGTATACACACGCACACATACCTAGGAGGCCCAACAGTATAACACACGCAGTCACAGGAGCAAGACACAACAAAAGCACAACACACACAAGATAGTGAAGGAGTGCTCCAACAGAGGAGAATGGGCGTGACTGGCGTAGTGAGGTGCGACGTAGCGATGTGGTATCCTGAACAATTTTAATATTTTTAACGTTTGACAATGTATATGATAGATACATATTTTAGTTATTTTAATATGAGGACAAGGCATGCAATGAACTAGTTTGGCGTGGATAAGTAAGCACCTGAAGATGGCATTATTATGCCGGAACATGTAGTGCGAGGGAGAGAAGGAGATAAATGAGTGTATGCACTGCAAGACGGTTTAAATAAATCATGGACATAATAGTGTATTACGAAAGGTTAAATTTAAATGGAAATTTTGGGCTATGAATCAGGTCTGCATTTGTATAAATTCCTTGCCATAGTGATGGTCATAGAAGTGAGGATCCCCAGAAATTTTGCAGATGTAAATAATTATGTCATGTTTTACACTGTTAAAACATGAATTCTGTGATAACTGTCCTTAGAAGAAAGCAAGCATCAGAAAAGATTATCTGTGCTAATAAAATACAGGATGCGCCAAAATTACAGTACTGATATGAAAAGATGTCCTGTTGATACCACTGTCTATTCATGTGAAGGCCCCTTGCACGACAGAACCTTCTCAAATCCTGAAGAAATGGTCCAATCACCATGTCCCAGTAGCATTCTTGGGTGATGGTAAGAACATTGCCTTCCTCATCCTCAATGAAATAGGGGCCTAATATACCATGTGCTGAGATCGTACACCATATCATCACACGTGTACTATGTAGCAGTTTCTGGACGATAACATCTGGCCTCTCGAAACCAAGGAAGCGAGTTGTCTGGCAACCACTTCCGTATGAGCAGAAATAATACTCAACTATGAATACTTTTTCCTCCGTCAAGAGACCCATTTCCAACAGCTGCACAACACAACTTCCTTTTCACTACTGGGAACACGTGCGGCTGCAGCTATGCCCCGTTGACAAACACACATGAGTGTTCGAAATGTGAGAGTTTCAGTACTGCATATTTTGGCGCATACTGTATATCCACATTTGCTGATGGTGACACATCACAACAAATACTGTATTTTAGAAATTTATGTAGTCATGTGACTCATCTCTCAGTGTTCCTACTACAGGCAACTTGTAATGAATTTATAAGTCAGTCATGTTTATTATAAATACATAGTGTATTCTAACATTCGAGGTTCTCACAGTGGTAGTTAAGAGTTCTGTCTTCCCAGGCAAAATGCAGTGTAGTGCATTGAAACTAAACTGACATTTCAGAGGAGCAAATTGCCTCCATCTTAAGAATAAGCAGATCTATGCTTGCTATCTGTTGCATCTTGCTGGTTTCTTGCTTGGCTTATTTTTTGACCCTGAAGATGGAGGTGACATGTTCCTTCAAAACACATGGTGTAACATGGTGTTATATCGCAGAAGGTAGACCTCTTCACTGCATAGTGTAATTTTAATTCTAGTGTTAGAATTTGCACTGCTTCTGTTTCTGTTTCAGTTTTGCTATTTTTTGTTTCAGGGATTGTAAGGTCTGCACAAATAATTCAGATTGCCATATATTAAAGGGTTGTCTGTCAGCAGAAATTGCTTCATGTACAGCAGTTCCTGTAGGCAACAAATCATTCCTTCTTTCTTTCACTTTCACTTTCAATACATGTTTCAGCCCTAAATGGCCATCTTCAGGTGTCTTACTATGCTAAAACTGCTACACAGCACTAATATTATAATATAATATATTGTGACGTGTTGCGCTATGGATGACGCCACTCCCCCCCCGCCCGCCAGCCGTGACATGTCGAGCGGAGTCGAATTGAGCCGAGTCTCAGCACGCTGGTCACTATGCAAAGCGAGTAAACACCGGTTGCTAAGAAAAGCGGGTAAACAGTGGTTGCTAGAGACGACAGTAATAACAGCGGTACCCATTACGTAACAGGCAAACACGGCGTCAGACAACAGTGGTGCCTATTACGTAACTGTTTTCCAGTTGTCCAGCTGAGGGTTCGTAAGGGAACTACACAGCTACCGAAGACAGTTCTCAAGTCAGCAGTGAACGAGTTACGAGTTAGTCACGAGCTAGCCAGGAAGTCAACCAGTCAATTGTAGTCTAGCATTTGCAGTCCAGTATTTGTGATACTGCCGATGGCAGTAATGTTAAGATTGTAAACTGTGTGATTGTAAGAGCGAATGTAAAATAGAATTCTCTATATCCAATACAGCGTGAAGTTATTTGTCGCGTTATACACCCAACACGTGACAATGTAATTCATCACACATGCAACTGCATTCTTCGTGATTCAAAATGTCATAATTGTAGTCTAACTGGTATGCGCTAAAATAGCACACACTATAGTTCACTTAGTTTAAATCAAATGAAATCTATTACATTTTTCTTTAAATTTTGTAAAATTCTTATTACACCTCGCAAGGGGTGTCGTCCACTTGTTTAGATCTGTATCCTTTTCTTCAGATGTTTTATTGCAGTAGCCTGTTTTCCTATTTGTAAGCCATTTAGGGCCAAAACATGTTGTGTTAAAAGTGAAAGCGAAAGAAAGAAGGAACAATTTGTTGCATTGTTGATGGACTGTGTAGTACATAGACAGTTTTAGATAGGTTTCCTATTCTAACCCCCCCCCCAAAAAAAAATACGAGGGTCGTACTGAAAGTCATGAGCAACAATTTTTTGTAAAGTAACATGCTTTATTATTGACAAACCAAATACACCACCTCAATCTACTGACCTTTCTTTATTTTTCCACATAATCGCCAATTCTTTGTACTCATTTCTCCCACTTTTCTGGGAGTTTGAAAATTCCCCTTCTGTAAAATTCTGTTCCAACCATCCGAAGACACTGACACACTGCTTTCTGAATTGCCTCCCTTGCCTCAAAATGTACACGCAGCTGATCCTTCACAAATCCGAAAAGATGGTAGTCTGAGGGTGCCACATCAGGGCTATAGGAGGGGTGTGGAAGAACTTCCCACCCCATCTTTGCAATTGCTTCCAGTGTGAGGCGAGCAGCGTGGGGGCGAGTGTTGTCATGCAGGATGATGATGTTTTGTCCTGGACGTTTATCGCGCAATGCTCATTGGAGCTTGTGCAGCATCTGGACATAACGAGGAGCATTGATGGTTTGCCCAGGTTCCAGGAATTCGGCCAGAATACACCCCTCTGCATCCCAGAAGACTGTGCCCGTTACCTTCACAGCTGATGGCACTGTCTTTGCCTTTTTTTGATGGAGAATGCAAATGGTGCCATTCCATACTCTGTCGTTCCGTTTCGTTTCAGGCTCGAAATGGTGAAACCAGCTTTCGTCACCTGTCACAATTCATTCATCTCTGATCTGTCAAGACAACAGGTCCACAGTCTCTTTCAAAACAGTTCCTCCACTTGATGCGATCTAGAGCTTTCTCCTTCAAATGAAAATATCCTCTTCTGTCCCCAAGGTCATCCAGCATCTTCTTATGTCTTCTCACTTCTATCCGCCCCTCTATCTTTCCTTCAATAACTTCTTTTAGAAGGCAGTTATCACATAAGATATGACCAATCCAATTAGCCTTCCACTGTGAATACAATACAGAGCAAAAATATCATCGCCTTCATGTCGATATCTCTTCAGCAGTTCTGAGGTGATGGCTTTTCGCTGACCTTTGTGGTCTTCGGTCAATAACCGTGAGACCCAACAAGCAGAAACTTTCCTATAGCCCAAGCTTTCAATCATCTCCTATACTGCACTGTGCCCTATTCCAAGTTTTCGGGTTATTGTGTCCACAGTCACATGCCTGTCATCTTGAATGATCTCATCCACTCTTTCCTTGTTGCGTTCAGTTGAGGCTGTTTGAGGACGACTGCTCCAAGGCTCATCTTCGATGCTGGTGTTCCTGTCTTTAAAATGTTTCACCCATCTTTGAACACTGCTCGCACCCATGCACACACTTCCATAAGCACACTGAAGTCTCTGGTGAATTTCTGCAGCAGGAATTTCCTCTTTCACAAGAAATTCGATGAAAGCACGCTGGCGAAACGACATATCGTTGCTGGCCATTTTGTTTGGAGTGATACTGATCATGTGATGCAAGCTATTGACATCACAAGACACTCAAGGTTAACACAACAGCTGGTTCCACCTACCACCATACTCTCTTTCATCTGCTGTTCCCAGGTTGCATGCAAAAAAAAGTTGCTCATGACTTTTGGTACAACCTATGTATATACATACATATTTGACTTACAAAGACACTAGTTATCTTAGAGGTACACAGAAGACTGGTTTTAGATGCTATTAAAGCCTTTCTATCAGTGAAGGTGGATCTCCTGTTGTGGAAGTCATCAAGTTTTCCATTTATAGACAAATTATAAACTGGAAAATACATAGAACCATATACAGTGTGCGTTCAAGTTCTAAGGTCTCCGATTTTTTCTCACACATTAATTATACAAAAATTTTGAAACTTCTGTCACTTTTCAATGTAATCTCCCTGCAGCCATACACATTTTTCACAACGTCAATGCCATGATTCCATAGCCGCTTTGAACACTTCTGTAGGAGTCTGTTTTGACCACTGGAAAATTGCTGATGCAATAGCGGCACGACTGGTGAATGTGCGACCACGGAGAGTGTCTTTCATTGTTGGGAAAAGCCAAAAATCGCTAGGAGCCAGGTCAGGTGAGTAGGGAGCATTAGAAACCACTTCAAGTTTGTTTTCACGAAAAAACTGCTGCGTTGTGTTCGCCTGATGCACTGGTGCATTGTCCTGGTGAAAGAGCACACGTGCAGCCTTTTCTGGCCGTTTTTCTCACAGTGCTGGAAGGAGCTTGTTCTTCAGAACATCTTGGTAGGATGTCCTTTGGAATGCAGTGAGTAAGGATTACGCCATCGTTGTCCCAAAACATGGCCACCATAATTTTTTCAACACTGGCGTTTACCCGACATTTTTTGGTGGCGGTGAGTCTGTGTGCTTCCATTGAGCTGACTGGCACTTCGTTCCAGGATTGAAAAACGGCATCCATGTCTCATCCATAGTCACAATTAATGAAAAGAAAGTCCCATTCATGCCTTCATCACGTGTCAACATCGCCTGGCAAATTGCCATGCGCACAGCCTTGTGGTCATCCGCCAGCATTCGTGGCACCCATCTGGAGGACACTTTCCGCATTCGCAGGTGTTCATGCAGGATTGTGTGCACAGATCCCACAGAAATGCCAACTTTGGAGGTGATGTCTTTCACACTCAATCGGTGATCCTCCAAAACAACTTTCTCAATTTGCTCGGCCATGTTGTCAGACCGGCTGGTGTGAGGCCGAGATTGTTTTGGTTCGTTGTCACAGGACGTTCGGCCTTCTTTGAACTGTCGCACCCACGAACGCACATTTTTCACCTTCATGACACCATCACCACATGTCTCACTCAACTGGTGATGAATTTCAGTGGGTGTCGCACCACGCAAGTGAAGAAAACGAATGATTACTCGCCGTTCTTGTAACGAAAACGTCACCATTTTAGGTATCAAAAACACTCCTCATCTCACTGCCACCACTAGAGTTCTCTGTGCCGTACAGTGCTGCCATCTCTGTCACACATTCACAAAAAGTGCACACGCATTTTAAACTAAACCACATATGTCTATCTGCTCCCAGTCCTCAGAAAAAAATCAGAGATCCTAGAATTTGAACGCCCCTCGTAGTGCCGTTGGAAAAAATAGATACAAACAGAAAAATGCAGGCACTTGAAATCTGCAAATAGATTCTAAGTCCAAGAATGGGCCGCGCCATAGTTCAAGCGGTTAGTCACTGGTGGCCCGGGTTTGATCCTGGGTCTGGTCAAATGGGATTTGTGATGGACAAAGTGGCGCTGTGGCAGATTTTCTCCAAGCACTTCAGTTTTCCCTGCCAATCTTCATTCTACCAATTGCTCCACAATCACCCTCACCTATCATCTGGGGCTGGTACAACAGGCCAGAAGTGGCCGCAGTACAAAGGACTTAGTCCCACCCCACTAGCAATAAAAAATAAGTCCAAGAATCCAACAACTCCCATTGAAATCTGCAGTTTGTCAAAACCGTAGTTGATGAACTGCTGTATATAGTGATACTAGCTGTGAGAACTAAGAGTTAACGGTAAAAGCATTATGTTTAATTCTGCTCTTACTTCACTTCTCACATCTTGTGTTGTATTTTTTAATAACAGAGTACCAGCAGTGCAGGCCATATACTAGATCAGAAGCAGAAGCAAACAAAGAGTGGAGGTTATCTGACATCAAACTCTCCTGATGTTAGTAAGATTGTTAGTGATTTTGTTCCTGCAAAAATTCCACCAGGACAGTCAGTGAGAAAATGTTTTCACCCAGGAGTGTCGTCAATGGCCAGGGAAGCATTTCCACTAAGTGAAGATCCTGTCACCAGCAAGGATATGCTCAGGGGGATGATGACATACATTTGGCCAAGGGTTTGTTTTCTTTATAGTTCTTAACCTTTACCACTCATGCATCATATTACCATAATAGTACATGCATTGGTTTAACAGGCCTGGTGTTGCACAATTTAGAGTATAAATAGCAGTAATGCCAGCTTGAAATCCAGTTACCAGTGCCATAGTAGTTTGGGATTTAAATCCACCATTTCCAAAAATAAAATATTTGGAAAGTTATATAATGTTTTGTCCTTGAAACTTTGCACAGCCTGCAAACTTACACCAAAATTAGGAGAAACTTAAAGCAGAAAGTTTATAGGAACAGTGTACGAAGGGGGACCCAAAAATTACCGGAACCGACCTGTTGCGCGCGCATGCTTTGTAGTTACGAGTTGTGCTGCTAGGTGGTGTTAGCTGGGGGTCTCCCGCGACTGTTAGTGAGCTGGCGTCAGTCTGAGTTAAGTGGTTTGTCTGTGGTGCTCTGTTGTGTGCGTTCCTGTTTCAACCCTTTGGCGATTAGTGAGATGGCCGACCAGAAGGAACAAAGAGTGTGCATGAAATTTTGCTTTCTGTTAGGGAAAACTGCAGCCGAGACTGTTGGGATGCTTCGGCAAGCCTTTAATGATGATGCTTTGGGGAAATCACAGGTCTACGAGTGGTTTTCCCGTTTCAAATCTGGCAACATGTCAACAGAAGACATGCCACGCCCCGGGCGTCCTTCGACAGGAAGAAATGACGAAAACATTGCCAAAATCAAACGTGCAATTGATGAAGATCGTCGAAAGACCATTGACCAACTTTCTGAGGAAACGAACATCTCATGGAGCACGGTCCAGCGAATTTTAACCGAAGGTTTGCACATGAGACGGGTGTCTGCAAAATTTGTTCCTCGCTTGCTCGGAGATGACCAAAGAGAAAACCGCGTGAATGTTTGCCGTGACTTGAAGAGTGAAGTGCAGAACGATCCAGAATTTCATGCACATTCTTTTTTCCTTCTGGTTGGCCATCTCACTAATCGCCAAAGGGTTGAAACAGGAATGCACGCAACAGAGCACCACAGACAAACCACTTAACTCAGACTGACGCCAGCTCACTAACAGTCGCGGGAGACCCCCAGCTAACACCACCTAGCAGCACAACTCGTAACTACAAAGCATGCGCGTGCAACAGGTCAGTTCCGGTTATTTTTGGGTCCCCCCTCGTATGTATCCTTGGCCCTGTATGATGAAATCAGAACTGTCATAAAAGAAGTAACAGAAAATGACATTTAGCTCTTACTCTGAACCATAGATGCATATTGTTTTTTACTGAGGCATTGATTTTTAAAGGCTGCATAGTAGCTATTGAACAGTTTCTTTCCCCTCTCCATGGCAGCCAGTGTGTTCTATACTTAAATATCAGTCACAAGACTACATTTTCCTTTAGGAAGCTCTGATTGATTGTTAAATTTTAACCAAATTAACAGAATGTATTTGTAGTTTTTTGAAGAGTTAACATTGTTATGGTCATTAGATGGTCTTGAAATTTCTTCTGCCAGTTCACATCTAGATTTTTCTCATTGATAGTGAAATAATCATGCATTTCCATGCATACATACATAGCAATTCATTGCAAAATGCTGATAATTGGTTCCTTGAAGCAGTAGTAGTAATGTAACAAGCAGATCAGGAGCAGCAGGATTGATTAGGACTTTCCTTTACATAGATAATCATAACCTGAAAGGCTCATGCTGTTTTCTTTGTACATTTTAAACTATAAGAAATATTTATGCAAACAGTTTTTTCTCCCCATAATATTACAATTTGTGTACCTTCAGTGGATCATAATGTAATTGGCAGGAAAATCTATATATTGGATGGTTGCCACATTGTTATTTTTTTAAGTACAGATTACCCTGATCACGTTTATATATATTTTAAGAGATCTACCCATCATAACAAGTGTTTCCCCATAAGTAGATGAGCCGATAGTTCCACAATTATATGGAAGAGTTTAGTTTTATGTTATGTATAATCTGTTGGGTGTGTTGAAATGTCTGGTGATAACCTTATGAGGATGGACTTATTTCTCAGTGTCTTTGGACAGTATACAAGGTGTGGCAATAAAGAAACCGGATTCATGCTCTAACCCTTTATTAAAAAAAAATCAGACAGTCGAAATGTTATCCCCTTCAATGTAGTCCCCTCCCCGATCCCTACACCGCTCCATGCGAATTTTCCACTGTTGGAAGCAGTGCTGCAGGTCATCTTGTGTTATGCTCTTCAAGAGTTGCGTCGCTTTTGCTTTCACTGCATCCACGGACTCGAACCT